TACCCTTAAATATATTTTTTCACTCCAATAAATAGAAGGTAAAAAGGTTAATTTAAAATATTATTGTCTTGTCTTCATTTTTTTTCCTCTATTTTCTACTCAAATTTGGATCAAAAATATTTGGTGGGCCGGAAGGATAGAGATCCTCTCCCACTTTTCACTCTCTCGTACTTTTCTTTGGTATCAAACAATAGAAACATTTTCCTTCTTTTTTATTTTTCCTCCCTAACTTTCCTTCCACCTATTTTTTTCATCATACCCAACACATTATTGGAAACAATTTCAATAGACTTTCATTAATTAAGATCATAAGACTCTTGATGACATCCATTATCCTTCTTGAACTCACGTAGGCTCAAAAAGTTGGACAGGACCCCTAGACTGATTTAACGTGGGTGTGATAATCTGAAAGTTAGTACCAAAGTCTTAATTTGGTTAAAATACTGACTTGATTAATGTGAAGAAACCTCTTCGACCCTTCACTGTCACGTGAGTCGAGAGTTATTCCACCAAAATTCAATGTATGTTGGCTATTACGATAAACATGAACCGCCCAATGACATAAATGCCCCTTGGATCTCTCCCACATATATTGATAAGCACGTGCTGAAAGAATAAATATTAAGAATAACAGTTATACCACGTAATATAGTTATTTAATAATAAACAAATAAATAACTAAATCTCAACTTTTTGATACATGATGGATAGTTTGTTATTTGAACACTGAGTTCATTGTGCCTAAATTTGTATGTATCACTTGTTATACTCAATATTTACTCTCCATCAGGTAGAGTTATTCATATCTGCGTGTTTGGGAGGAGTAGGAGGAGGAGGGAGAAGAAGAGGCAGCGCAAGTGTGGGGTGGGGGGGGGGGGTGGGGGTTTGGTTTAGAATTTTTAATTTTCTGAGATTCCCTCTGCTGCGGCTGAGGACGCAGGACGCACGTATGTCCAAAGCACGTGACGAAGTTGCCTTTCGAACATGGCCGTAACGGTTAAGAGAGTGAGACACGAACAGCTGTCTCGTTGGGAACGGTTACAAAAGCTTTTTAAGTACATCTCCATCTTTTTCTTTCTTTTTTTTCTTCTTTTTCTTTTTGTTGCTTTCCTCCTCTACTTTTCTGTTTTTTCTGTTTCTCTCCCCTAAACTTATTTTGTCATGGCTGTTGCCTACAGGTGTATGTAAAGCATGAAGCAAATAACATCTAACGGGAGCGAAGTATGTAGATTTTGATGGGATATTTTTTAGGATCTTTTTAATTTTAAATTTTATAAAATATTAATGTCACTTACTAATAATATTTTTTTTAATGATCAAAGTGTTTTGACCAACTTATACGTATTTCAACTAATTCTCTCTTTGATTCAGTTCACAGCAGGCCATTCACGCCTAAAATATTCATGAGGGATAAATTCATCATAACTTAACTTTAAAAAATTGTCAAAATTCGAATTTAAGACATCTACATAGCCAACTAATAATGATGCCTCAAGTTAGGGGCATGAATATCAATTTTTTTTTTTTTTGTTGATCTAAGCATAGCCTAAATAAAAAATAATATTATGACTAAACTTTCTTTGTTGGTTAAAACTTTTATATCATATTTTTCCTTAAACTTCATATTAAGGATAACAATGAGCCCATTGGAAATTTTTCTTCATATCCATCAAGCTTCTACTATAAGATGCCTGGTTTTAGTATGGGTTTGAGTTTTCCTTCCCTATATATTTGTTCTACAGGAAAAAGTCAATATTTTTTAAATGTTTTTAATCTTTTCTTTATGACCCTTGCATGTCAACGTGTTGAAAAATCTCTATGAGTTGTGTGTTGAATTTTTCAATGGTCATTCAATTAGTATCACTTGTTAGACTTAGTGATTATTTTTGATTATGCATAACGTCAAAAAGATATTTTTCAGTAAAAATTAATTAGTAGTAGACTCTTTGATTATGTATATTATAAAAAGAAAGTGTTGATATTTTGCTTCTTATTTTTACCCTTAAAATATACTATTTAAGAATTTCATTGCAATTCTTTTTTTATTGGAAAAAGACTTAATTTAGAAAAAGGCTGTAATTGACTATTTCATTGATCTAGTAAAATGAGTCAGTCGAGGTCAAGGATTTGATCCAGATTTTTTTGTCCATTTATGTATCACATATCGAAAGAAAATAATTTTGCATATATTTATACTAATAATTAAAAACATTTCTTATAACATTCGAAGTTCACATTCGTAAATTATTTGAAATTGAACGCAATATTATTTCGTTTGAATCCATTAAAAGCTGGCCAATTTGAAAAAAAATATATTAGAAAAACTTTGATATTAGTAGATAGGCCTACCAATAGTTGAGTGAGACGAGTTTGCATTAGATTTTAATAGAGTTGTACTAAAAAATATTCTATTTATACCTAATTAATTTATTAATTATATCGTGTTGAATCTATTTGTTTATTAAATGAATGATTTTAGAAAAAATTAAACTCTCTATTTTTATATTGTATTCATTATTATTATTGTTATTAGTATTATTTTTTACCACCGACCGGTAGCTAAGTCAAAAGTCTTTAATAAATATCAACATTACCAAACAGGTAGGAGTAGGACATTGGGTAGTGGGGTACGACGTACGAGTAACAGAAACGGATACGACGGATCTCTTCTATCTTATCTTTTTCATTAATGCTCCTCTCCCCACCATTTCCTAATCCTACCCTACCCACCTCGGGCACCCTTTTGTTTAATCACTCTGTTTAATTTAATCCATTTTCTTTAAGTAATAGTAATTCAAAAGAGATCAACCAGAAGAATTCAAAGGGAGAGAGAGGAAGCTAGATGGAAAGTTCCATATTTGGGGAAGCGTGTACGTGAGCTGGGCTGCCTCAGTCTATAATGTAAAATATATGCATATAACTTAATTTTGAGATTACAATTCTAGCTGAAAATGGAGTTGAGTTTGTGGAATTCGATTTTTTTTTTTTTTAAAGGAGTTTAAATAATTATTTGAGTCAAACACAAAATAAGTTGAATTTTAGTCAAATTTGAGTAGTTCAATTATTTTAAATATAAACGAGCTAAATTTTACAACTTTGAGCCGTGTCTTTTAATCTCATTTTTTTAATTGTGTTTAAAAAATTGTTCAAGTTTTGTTCGTTTAAAACACGAGTCAATCTTATTTGAATTGAGTCTGATTAATTTGACTCAATTATCAACTTTAACAACAATTATATTTAGATTAATAATACTATAAGATTTTATTTTAATTTTTTGATTTACAAATTATAAAAAAAAACATGAATATATCTTACAACATAAACTAAAAAAAATACTAATACAAAATTGACACCCATGACTCAAATAAATATAAAGAAAAAGAAGAGTGAGCAGCAAGAGCAGGTGTGGGAAAGGAAAAAAAAAATGAGGAGGCCGTTACAGGGGAGAAGAGGTTATTTATTGACAGGCTGGATGGACAGGAAAGCAGTGATGATTCGCGTCCTCCGATTCGGCGACCAATCTTGTCGTTTTCTTCCAGCTCAGCAATTCCGTGTGGCTTTTTTAATAATATTTTTTTAAAAAAAAGAAGAGATAAATATCACTCCCACACGGAAAGCAAAATGCTCTCCAGGCTGGCCCCTTCTCTCTTCTTTCAGTCAAAGCTGATCGGCTGTCCCTTACTACTCCTACTCAACTTTTTCTCCAACCGTTACTTAACTCTCTCTCCTCATTTATTAAATGTGTGATCATTTCAGCTGACAAGACCTCCTCCTCTTATTACAACGTCTTATGCTTGTGTAACTTCCAAGCACACTGAGTCGCACAATCAATTTTATTTTATTAGAATATTTTTTTATCATCAGGAGATAAATGAAGGAAACAAAGTTAAAATGTCGTTTAAAACCTTGTTGCCAATTTAAATTAAAACTTACTGTAAATAATAATTTATACTTAATTAAATTCCTATAGCATAACCCCTAGTTTCTCAATGAATTGAATTATGATTCAAATTCAATTACCTGAATATGATTTAATATTTTTTATCGATTAATTCAATCTCAAATCTTATATTTTATATTTTTATAAATTTAAATTTGAAAATACCTATATTCGATCCAATCCGATCCAAAAATTTTTATTTATTTTTATATAAATACTAAAGCAATTATGTGATTATTTTAAAAAAATATAAGTCTAATTTATTAAAATTTAATTAATTAAATTATCTAGATCAGATTGAATTTCAAATCTAATTTTAACTTGTTAACGGATTCAAATATGAATCATGATAATAAAATCCGTTAGATTATCAAATCAAAATTTTAAAATTGAATTCAAATTTCGATTAGTCATAGTCTAATCTCAATTTAATCCATTAACAGTCCTAAGAGCGAATTATTCACACTAGATATTCTTTTAATTATGAGAACATTTGTATATCAAATCAGAATTTAAAAAAATGAATTTGTGACAGCAATGCTATTATTAATCTTATAGTAAATTATAAGTCATGAATTTAAGATTTTATAATCCTTTTTTTTGGGGCAGAAAAAATCACAATATACCAAGAAAGATCATCAACAACAGTAAAAGAATGTGAGTTTCACGTGCCTTATGTAGAGAGTAGTCCAAAACTGATTAAAGAAAAGTAAAGAGACTTGATGAGGAGAGCGAGTATATCTGTAAATCAGAGCAGCTCCGAAGTGACGCGTGTCCGTTAGCCAGCTGTATCCCAAAACCCCCACCCAAAATCAACCGCTTCCATGCTACAAGCGGTGCCCATAACGCCTTCTACAGTCCACAACAACCATCTTCACCGGCTCAACCGGTTATCCTTATCCTCCCCTCCTTTATATACAACTCCCCCCCACCTCTCTCTCTGCTCATATATAAAGTCTCTCCTCTCAGACGCCTTTCAAAACTCCCCATTTGCTTCTCTCTATAACCTAGAAGATACAAGAAATCAAAACCCTGTACATGCTTTACTGAACCAGTAGTCATGATGGCGAACACAAATACGAATACAAGGAAAGATATGGATCGGATCAAAGGGCCGTGGAGTCCTGAAGAGGACGAAATGTTACAGCATCTGGTTCAAAAACACGGACCCAGAAACTGGTCTCTGATCAGCAAATCCATACCCGGAAGATCCGGAAAATCATGCCGGTTACGATGGTGTAACCAGCTATCTCCACAAGTTGAGCACAGAGCTTTCACTCCCGAAGAAGACGAAACCATTCTCAGAGCTCATGCCCGGTTCGGGAACAAGTGGGCCACCATAGCCCGACTTCTATCGGGCCGGACCGATAACGCGATAAAGAACCACTGGAACTCTACGCTCAAGAGGAAGTGCTCGTCGATGAGCGGTGAAGAAGGTAACGATTTTTCAAACGAACAGCCTTTGAAGAGATCGGTTAGTGCCGGGTCGGCTTTACCGGTTTCGGGTATTTACTTGAGTCCGGGAAGTCCTTCCGGATCCGATGTGAGTGATTCGAGTCTTCCTGTTATGTCTTCGACTCTTGTGTATAAACCTGTAGCGAGAACTGGAGGCATCGGTGTTTTGCCGCCGCAGCCTCAGGTCGAAACGACGACGTCGTTGTTTAAGAATGATCCACCTACTTCGCTTAGTCTATCACTTCCTGGTGTCGATTCGATGGAGATATCCGATTCGACTCGCTTGGCCGAGTCTACCGAAGTGGCCAATCCAATCCAGTTGTTTCCATCGGTGATGCTGCCTCCTCCACCATCCCCACCTCCTCCCGCGACAACGGTGGTGTCGATTCAACAATTTCCGGTGACTCAGCAGAATCGCCTCGAAATGCGTCATTTTGGATCGCCGGTTTCTCAGGCGGGGCCGATGCAAAAGGTTACAGTCAATCAACAGAATCACATCCAAAAAGGTGATTTCGGATCATCGGTGCCGTTGACTATGGCAATGTCAACGACGATGAATAACCAGACCGTGGAGTTCGGTGGAGTTCCGGTTTCATTGCCTCCGGGGGTGGATCAGCAGGACAAAGTGTTTGTGCCGTTCAGTACAGAGTTGTTGGCGGTGATGCAAGAGATGATTAAGGAGGAGGTTAAAAACTATATGCAAGGGTTTGCGCAACAACAGCAGCAACATCAGAGTGGAATTGGGTTGTGTATGCAGCAAGCTAATGCCGATGGATTCAGGAATGTGGCGGTGAAGCGCATCGGGATCAGCAAGATGGATTAGGGAAATCAGTTTGTCTTGTTTGTAAAGATGAGAGAGAGAGAGAGGAGTTAGGTTTGAGAAAGGAACTATCTTTGTTTTCTTTCTCTTCCTCTTTGAGGTTTCCTCTGTTCCGGCATCGAGATTTGCCCCCCCAAAAAAGTGAATGTACAGTGAGAGAGGGCTGAGGTGGAGAGAGGAAATGAGAGGAGGGGGTGATGGGAAGAAAAACAGAGGGAAAATTCTCTGGTAGATTTTAGGGAAAACCAAAAACATGCAACAAAATGAGAATGAAAAAAAAAAAGAAAAAGAAGAAACCTTTGAATTTCAATTTTAAATTAAATTAAATTTGGATGCCTTTGTTTTCTTTCTGTGCTCTGATTTTAGCATTTTCTTTTCACGGGTGGTTTCACTGTGAAAATGTCTGCCAGTGTCAAAAAACTTTGAAGGGGGATGTTTGGAAGGTGAGGGCAAAGACAGTGAAGCACTAGGACTAATAATCAGGAGTACTGTTATTTAAACTTAAAATTTTAATTTAATTATTATTATTTTTTAATATTTAAGTTTGTGTCAATTACTACTGACCTAATAATGTAATTTTATTATATTTATTAAATTTTAATATTTGATGGATTCACTGCTAATTATCTTTATTTGAGCTAATACTTCTATTATATCATAGCAGAATTGGTCGGAGGATAAAGTAATGAATGCTATGCTATGGTAGTAAGTCTTTGGAAAGTATTGTAGCCTCCTGAACTTGATGGGGTACAGGCTAGTTCAGATTTTACTCCAAAGTTATCTTATTATGTAGGGCCTCTTGGCAAGCCTACTGTTTTTTTATGACAAATAAATTATTATATCCAATATAGTGTGAGTACCACCACATTTGACGCACCTAAACTTTGAATATTTACAACCAACAATAATAATCACCTGTAGCCACAGATATTAGTAAACTTTTTGAATATTTACAACCAGCACACACCTTTATAGCAAGAACAGATATTAGCTACACTCGAAAGTAGCCAACAATAATCATTTGTCAAATTGTCCAATTCTAGAATTTAGTACCAAACTAATCTCATACCACTGGATTATTCATGCGGGTTTGTCTTCTCTATTTTGTAGTAATGATGAGATCCTATTAAAGGTAATCAACGTAGAGAGATCTCCAAATATACTTTTTTTCACAGATCATTTAAATTTGTGCCCGGCTACTTTCTCGAGAGATCAGATCAACGATTAACTATTATTGTGACTTGAGCTAAATTAGAATATCTATCTTTCTAGCCCTTGGGGGTGTGAAAACAAATTAATCTGAGACCTTTCGTTTATCAAATGTTTAAACTCAACCAGTGAGGTAGCACAAAACTCTATCCGCTTTGACTGATATTTTGGTGGTTTAATTGATGTTTAGATATAGGGGGAGAATGGTACCTGGATGAGCAACATCCCAACTGCCAACCGTATGTATGGTATGAAGTAACGACATGAATTTACACCCAGCAATCCCATTAACTTCTTCTCTAAACTTTCCTTCAAACATTTCTTCTTCAAGAAATACAGTAATAATAACATATCTGATATGTTATGTCCCAATATTATCGACGAATTGAATTGCTATTATTTGCACACAAAAACATCAGGCTTCAAATTGACTCAGTTACGAGGGTGCGGCCTGGATGGTGCTATACCTCCTTATTAACGCTATGAATGATTTGAATTTATCAAAGATGTGCAAAAAATCCTCCCTCCAGGACCAGGTGGGATCATTCAGAGCTCGGATGGAATTTAAACAAACGAGAAGAGTACCGCCTTCATGTAAAAGAACCTGCATATTCAACAATTAAAAAGCAATGATAAAGCAATAAATAGATGGTAAAAGCAACAAGAAACCAAACAAGAAGCACACTTGAGTCTCAAATTTCAAGCCCAATATAGTGATTTAACCTTGCAATTTCTGCGAACAACTTAGATTACATCTAGCAATTGGAAACTGTTTTTTTCATTTGAGTTAAACACATTCTAAATCATGTGTAACATTACCTTCTTGTACCAATTTTACACTCATTGGTTTTTTTTTTTTTGGCTGTGTTCTGCTAATTGTTCTCTATTATAGACAATGGCAGGCAGAAAGGAATCATGAAAATTTCTAGGAAACCATTTTAAGACAACAGCTACATATAGAGGAAATGACCATTTGACAGAAGCTGACATCTCAATTGGTCAAATGTTGATCTTATTCGCTAGCTGGGCTAGACATAAGGGCAGAATCTCTCTTTGTATATTACAATATATTAAAAAGCAAAAATCTTATAAAATGATTACAGCCTATTCGGAATTGCTCCTGTATATTGTATACTACTAATACCAAAGATAACCAACCCCAGTCGTTCAAATGACATTTATCTCAGCCACATATCATAAATTAAACAAACATAGCTGACAGCCCTCATCAAACCTAGCTGTGTTCAACAATATTTCGTTGGGGCACAGTTAGCTCATGCTCGAGCTGTTGTAATGCTAGTGAAGGAAGCTACAAGGATTCGAATGCTAAGTAAATGAATAAATTGGATTTTGATTCACATTTTATCTAGCTAGCATGTAGTAGGTGACAGGAATACCCATAAGAAAAGAGGCCTGCAAGACAAATTGTTGACTTGGATCATACCGTTAACCATAGTGGGAGAAACCCCAAAACTGATGTAAGAGAGGCCAAAATAATGCTTGATAAGGCGAGGGCCACATTTTGTTTGACCTGCATGCACAGGTGCATTAATATGATGAATAGATGAAAAGAAAACATCATGCACCTAAATGAAAAGAATATAGAACATACCAGGGAAGTTGTTTGACGAGATTTGGCAAAACAGAATGGAACACCTGAAATATTGTCCTGTAGCAACAGCACATCTGCAACAGCTATAGCAGTTGCACTAGCACGTTCAGCTAGAACAACACCCACAGTAGCAGCCGCCAGTGCTGGGGCATCATTGATACCATCACCTACCATTATAAGTCCTCCCCCTACCAACAAAAATTAAAATGTGATGGTCTGAAACAGTATGTTGCCCAAAGAATGTTTTTAAACAAATATAAAAAGAAGTTGCATCTTTCAGATAATGTCTTCAGATATTGCAAATATATCTTCACAACATGAATGTAAGCATAGATGCAGGATGGAAAACAAAAAATCATGCCCTGAAAGATGCAAAAAATATGAAAAAAAAAAAGCTCCCCAAGAAAACCACTTCTCAGCACTTTTGTTAGCCACCATGGCACCTGTATGGCCGTATTATCTTTTTTTCTCAATAAGTAATTCACTAAAAACCACCTAATGAATTGGTTTTTTTTTTTTTTTTTTTTTTTTGGGGGGGGGGGGGGGACCCAAATACAAGCAGAGATACCAGGGCACAATTCATTACCCTTAACCCCCTTTTTTGGATTGATACGTATTCCAATTAAGACTTCAATCCTGTATCTTTTCCTTTGAAGGTGATATGAGTACCACTCAAGGTAACAGCAGTACAACCTATTATCCTCATACTAGCATATCACTCATAACCCTCCTTTCACAAGTACCAACATCTCATCGCCTCTCCTACAACACTGAATCTCCCGCCAATCACAATCCTCATGTACCATATGGGAACATAAAGTGCCGAGATGATATGATTGTTTAAACCATTCTTATGCCCCCAGGTCCAATTACATCACCTATAGCTGGAATGTGATAACATCATATATAGGATTTCAATGTAAGGGGGATGACAATATCATTGGCAATTTGCATGCATTTCGTTTAGCTCATCCATGCAACTTGATAAGGCGTAAATGCGATGAAATTTTGTTAACAAATGGCCCACTGCTTCAGGTTGATCCAAATAACCAGGATGTGGGAGTTCTGAGTTTTCATAGAATCAAAACTGTTTATCATTCTTAAACAAAGAGATGTGTTAAAATTCAACCCCATTATTTTTTAGAAAAAAAAAAAAAAAAACCTCCACATTTGGGGAATGAACAAGATTAAAAAATCACCTGTATCTTTCGAGATATTCGTCACGTGATAGAGCTTATCCTCAGGCTTTAGGCTGCAATAAACTTCTTTTATACCCACAGCATTTGCAACTCTCCACGCACTTGACTCATGGTCACCAGTTAACATCATTAAACGGAGCTTTGCTCGATCTTGTAATGCCTGTATTACATCCATAGCCCCAATTCGAGGCTTATCCACAAAGTGAAACAGTGTCACCTGCAATAGTTGCGAGCTCAATTCAGAGTCTGTTTGGCACCACTGGGAAGAGTTAAACTGCAATATGATGCTGGAAACTTTGGGCGTGTAACAAATTTACAGCCAACTGTATATTTCTAAGACCATCCATGTTATCCTAATCGTGTCATCATCCAGGATGTTTTCATTTACAAAAAGAAAGTATATTTTCAATAAAAAGGAAAAGACAAATTCCTAGTGTATAGAGAAATGATGTATCAAATGTGGGACATATCAAACAAGCCTTTCCTTGAAGGCCAGCAAAGTAGGAAGCTGTCAGATATTTTCTTGATCATGCACGAATCATGTGATAAGATATTATGTCATCACTAGTCAAGATTTGCTCCAGTTTTTTCATGACAGTCAGCTGCAATAATGCTGTTTACATCAATTCTGTAATCATGAGCACTTATTACTCAGAAAAAATATGCAACAAATACCGCGTCAAGATGGACAAATAGATAGGACAATAACAATGTTGTTGCCTTACTCTTTCTACCACAACATAGTTGGCATGGGAGGAATTCCCCTTTTAAGGAGCTCAAAAGATGGATCTATAGCCCACAACGTAAAGAAAGATATAAGGATACCTTTCTGCTTCTGCTCTGAAAGGTATGATTATAAACCTATCACAACAGAAGACTCCATTTTGACATCTAGTGTTCAAAATGTTGTCACAATTAAGCATCATTATCATTCTCACTGACAAAAAACTAACCTTTTTATTATTAACAGAGAGCGCAGCACGAACAAAATCGTTTCCGTAAGAAGATGTGCTCAATGCCTCCTTGATCTTTTTTGATTCACCGTTGGAATTAAAAAGTGAAGCGATGTAATCCTCAGAACCAAGTGAAGCTTTCAACAGTTCACCTCCTCCAAGTCCTGACTATAAAAGTTAAAAAATGAAGGTAGACTTACTTCACCTGTTGCAATTAAACAATAACAAAGATGGGAAAAAGATTGAAGTACAGACAATAAAGGCTGGGGAACGATTGGAGTATAGACAACATACGCCGCCAGTATGATGACAAAATATACTCTAACATGTTATGGAAGAATAATGGATGTTGGCATTATTGAATATCAGATCCATGGAGGCATGATAAAGTCCAACATAAAGGTTAAACAATGTTCAGGAAGTGAAAGCAAAACAAAGAACAACATGTAAACGTCATTATGGCCAGAAATGCATGAAATTTCGTCACGTCAGGGCAGCCAATCAATTGTTGAAACAGTGTTTGTTCAGTCCATGTTACAGCATCAGATGACGCAAATGACAAATAGGAAGTTAGGAATATGCTAACATAACACACTACCTTGGTGCCAGATAATGTCGCAAAGACACCCCTGCCAGGTAAATTCTCAAAACTTTCAACAGAAACAGAAGGAAGGTCTTTCCCCACACTATGATCCACAACGGCTCTGCGTCAACAAACAAAAAATGTTATAACTTCCATAAGTAACCTAAACAAAACACTGAAAGCATCATCTTCAGGCGTGATATCAATGCCAAATTAGCAAAAAGAAATTCTAGTGATCCAAGTAACATCATAAAACATTCAAATAACAGCAAATTACAGATAGAAAGGACTCCCTTATGGAGTAGCAACAGAAAACCTCCCTCCCTCTCTCTCTCTCTCTCTCTCTCTCACACACACACACACACACAAACATAAATATGCACAGAAAATGACTGTGAGGATAGGTAAGGAACATAGAAATCATGATGAATTTGGAACCCCAAAACAAATGTTTGGGGATTAACAGGTCAACAAGACTTTAATGTGCATATTTCATTTATGAATTGAAATAGCAAGCTAAGCCTAACATCAGAACTGGGCTACCTCAATGACAGTTATTTCTTTTTCTCTTGTATCCATGAAAGTGAAAAAGAAAGACCATTGCTAAAACACAAAACATCATGGATGCCCAACCAATTATTGATGAGATACAGACTATTGAGATCAGAGATCTCAATTCATAAGTATCAAAAGGATTTCGATCCCCAACATACTGGAGAGAATGCAAAAATAAAGAGTTTTTGCATATAATTTATGGAAATTTATAAACTTTGAATCCCAAGAACACCTAGTCAGCAATCTCAAGAAACCATATTATTTACAAATCCTATAAAAAAATTGATGATTTTTCATAGAACACTATGGAGCAAAGAATTTGTTGTATAAATATTCACCTTCACAAGGCAGTACTACTCGACAGAAAAGAACGTTAGCTTCATTCTTGGTTCAGTTTTTTCAGAGCCGGTAACTCGGACAAATTTTTCTTGCATAAAGTAGAAAAATTCTTCTACGCTTTTGTACTTTTAATTAGAACTTTTATAGCATTGTTTCACAATTAATCAATTCTTTCTGATATTAGGTGGAGGAGGAAACTCATAATTACAAGGACTATCTCTTAAAGTTTTAAAGAAGCAGTTCCTGATGTAAAAAGGCCCAAGAACAAAAACAAGCCTCCAGCCATTCAATTACAACATGAAGTCATCGACAGACTCAAAAGAGGAGTTAGATTAATATCACCCAATCATAAAAAGAGAAAACATAGTAGAACAGCCTATCAGGAATAGCCGACTACTAACTACCTTCCAATAGGGTGAGTGGTTCCCTTCTCCATAGCAGCAGCCACAGCTAGAGCTTCTTTCTCGCAACTAGGGACACAACAAGATACAAATTGATTTTCATTGTCTCTGATATGTCCATGTATTGGCTCAATTGCTTTGCACATGAACTCCCCGGTCGTCAATGTCCCCGTTTTATCAAATGCAATAGTGTGGCAAGAAGCTAGAGAATCTAGCACATGCCCACCTTTCAGCAATATTCCCTGTAATTAGTTTGGTCAAAGCTGTGAGAAAAGGTGCATTACATGAAAATTTGGATGATATAAGCCCATTCTCTGTCAGATTCTAATCTCACTTTGCCACAATAAAAGGTAGTAATTTCTCCTGGTAATTTGCAAGGGTAAAAAAACCCCAAGATATCTCCCACCAAAGATAACATCACACAACTTGTAAATTTAAAAGGATTACACATAATCATGCTGCTAGTAAATAGATTTCTATTTGTGCTTGGCATGCTAAAAAAGTCGTGCATGACCACTGTTACCCACCCGAGATTTATTGAATGAAGAAAATCATTGATATCAACATTTATGAGAATATATTCTGACAAAGCATCAACACATACCTTTCTTGCACAAGCACTAATTGCTGTGGCATATGCCAATGGTGCTACAGCTAATGCACATGGTGATGCTGCCACCATGAGCCCCAATGCTCTGTAAACTGATCCTCTGCAAACTACAAGACCAAATCAGAATTAAAATGGATAGAAAGGTTGATCGATACAAGATGAGCATGTGATGTAAAGTAAACTAATTTATAAAAAACTGATTTCTGTGCACTAGAGAGAGTCTTAAAGCAGACTCAAACCATAAAAGACAAATCCATTTCCCTATAAATAAGTTCGGTTCATAAGCCGTTTTCTTTTTTGATTTGTAGTGATTGAAATGTGGTTGAATGTCTTTAAGAAGAGAAAAAACAATATGTTACGCAAAAGGACCATGGATGCATTTGTTGAATATTCATGTACTATATCCTTCTTTTAACCAAAAATTAGGTTTGTTTTATGTATACTTGATATCAAATTTGAAATTTTCATAGAATCTTACAAGACACAATACCCAATTCAGCGAACAGGGTTGATTTCACAACTCAGCCTGAAACATTTTGAGAAGGGGTTTAGTGCTCTTTTTGGACACAACAAAATTAGCAACAACAACAACAAATAGATAGAAGAAAAAATGATTACGGTCCCAAGAAGATTTGACTCAATTCTAGGACAACATCTTTGGATCAAGAATCAACTTAAATGGGTTAGTATGTCGATTCACGCCAATTACCAAAAATACTCAATTTAACAAACCGGTTTGAATAGACTGAACATCGAATCAAATCAAGGTATTCAATCAAAGATGAGAATCGATCCATTTCACTGAATATGCAATGTGCATCAAGATTAAAGAGAAAAAAATTTGGTATTTTATCCGTGGAACTAAATTTCATTTCGAAACGGTTGGAAAATGTTTCCTTTCTTATGGAACAAAGCGAATCATTGATTGAATACTAAAATTTCTAGATTTCGAGGTGTATCGGTATATTTTGACGTGTTTCGGCATATTTCGATCAATGTTCTGGTATGTTTCGACTAATGTTTTGGTATGTTTCAACCAATGTTTTGAAAATTTGTTTTGAAAATTTTTCTTTGTTTCCATCCTATTTTCGGAACATTAGCGAAACGTTTTCATTTCCAATGTAACCGAAACTATTCACCGAAACAAAATTTTGATCATTGTTTTTCTCTGGTTTATTGGCCATATATTGTTCCATTGTTGGAGAGGCTACATAATACTAACACCGGATGTGCAAACGACTAAATGATTGTAGGAGGAAAACATATATATGAAACATCCTCACATACCTGATGTGCTGAAGAATGGCCACTTGAAAAAAAATGGTCCAATGAAGGCAACACCAACAGACATAACTATAACTGCTTTGCTATATTGCTCGCCAAACTTATCCAGCCACCTTTGAAGCTTTGGTTTACTGAGTTGAGCTTCTTCTGTTAGTTGTACAATTCTGCTCAGCATCGACTCTTTCCATGATTTTTTGGCCTAAACCAAAAGTCAGAGTCAAACTGGTAAGAACCATTAAAGGTCTTTAGGAGAATACTGGAAGTCACATATCTTCTTGTCTAGAAGTGCAATCAACAACAGAGAAAACATTTAAGAAGAAATGAAACAAGAGAAGACTCACAATTTTTGCATGAGAAAATCCATCCAGTTTGAGGGAAACAGAGTGTAAATTAAGAAATGAGCCTTACAGGACATCCATAATGCAATTGCTATTAGTTTTCTAGCAAATCTTGTGGGCAACAAGATTCGGAGCAATGAAGCATGAATTTGGCCACAGGAATAGACACAACACATTCAGAGCTATGAAGCATGAACAATGCCACAGGGATAGACACAACACATGGACACACTGGCAATCAAATGTAGACCATGGAAAATTAAATGAAGTTACATTATGTAATGTTCAAAAAGAAAAAGTTAATACAACATATGGCAACTTTAGCTTCATAATAAATAAATAATCCTATACGGTGCCAATATAAAAGCTTTAACCCATAAATCTTAATGATCAATAACTACCCCTCATGTAGAGGCAAAGACACATCAAGAACATGACATATTTATATTTTTCGACGACTTCCATTTACCCACTACACCCCACCTTTTATAGTTCATACATTGCCATATACTCCTTATGTGAATTTGGAAAAATTTGCAACTGTCATAGATTCTATCCAACCTGACAGTGGATGTAAGACGTGCTTAATTGGTGAATTGGTATGTTATGTTCTATTTCCCAGTCAAATATAGATGGTTAAAGAAAAAAATGCCCTAGTCATTCCTAGATAATACAGAAATATCCCTTTGTTCTTATTTTTTATGATTTCATGGACGTCCGACACCAGTGCCAACCACCCCAACCCACCACCTAGCCAACGGCCAGCATTAGTAGCACATCCACTTCCACCCACCAACCACCCGGCCACGATCAGAAGCCCCACCCCACCCCCAACCTCTTCCGCCCCCCCCCCCCCAAAAAAAAAAAAAAAAAACAAATTACCCTTCTCTATATAATCTAATGCCTACAAAGAACATCATACTTGAACAATTATTGCCTTTCTTAAAAGATATAGTCAGCTCTCTCGAAGTACATACCTTCACTATCATCATACCATCCAAGTTCCTTGCACCACCAGGAATGTTGTCCCCAACCTTCCTGTCTATAGGTTTCACCTCCCCAGTCAAATGCTCCATAGTAATTGTTGATCTGCCTTGAAAAACTTCACAATCTACAGGCACTGACTGATCAAAATACCAGCTACCATTACAACAAATCCAAATGCTAATTAAGAACTTCCAAACAAAAATATAATTGAAGAAACCAAATCAGGCATTAAAATCACCATAAATTTCAGGCAACAATAATATACGACAAAAAGCAGCATCAGTAAGCAAGGGTATGAGACAAGCCCCTGTCCCCACAAAGATACTCCTAATGGCGCATCTCAATGCATGACTAGGATTGGCAACTATGGAATTTAATTTCAATATGCAATAAGCATAAGACTCACTGCAATAAGCAGTGATAGTGGTTTGAATGAAAGGACAAGTTAGATATTTTTACAATTTAAAGTGATACCAGGACTTGCGCAAGCTTGAGCATATGCCAGTAGTGAAGCAGCTAAAGACAGTAAGTTAAAAAAGAGAGAAGCCTAAAATCTCTTTCAATGACATACACTATCCACTAATGACATATGCTAATTACCATGCTTATAAGTGTTCCAACAATCACATAAGCAACAGCATGCAAGTCTCAACAACTTAAGATGTCTATAAAACTAAGAAACAGATATACATGATAATCATTACCCTAGACAACTCTAGCCAACAAAAAATAGTGCCACCTATTTCTGGTTTTGCCATAGGTCAAAGTTGTTGAAAGTTTCTAGGGTTAGGGTTTTATGTGGTACAAGAAATGTTACAGGGTTTGAGGATGGTAAGAAATGATAATTGACTTGATTTAAAAATGGCTTCACAAATAATTCGTAAAAAAGTGTGTTGGAACATCTTTATTTTGTGTTAATGAAAAGACCAAAAGGTAGGGAATAGGTTCGGACTTATTGAAACTTGGTAGGGTAGTTTTACCACTCAAATTTGGGGCATTCTATTATTCTCAACGGCAGCCCAACAATAATACTCAAGGACAAAAGAAGAATCTAGAAAGTTCACATAAAATCTTCACTTTTCAGCTATTGGCTGCCAGACTATTCCTACTGCGTATAGGACTAAGTCCAAAAATAAGAAACTTTGACTTATTGAATAGTGCCCTACTTCTACCAGCTGGAATTTTAATCAAACAAGCAATATTAGAAACTTAAAAGTGCACAAATGGCATTCACTATAGCATATTACGTCCATAGATCTACTAACTGGAGTTTTTATGCTATATAAGAAATTTAAAACACACAAGTTGGCACTTGAAACAAGTAGATTATAGCATAAATTTCACAACAATGAAAGAAACAAAAGTGAAGTCACAAACCTCACCAGCTTTGACCAATATATATGAGCCGACCGCTAAATCTTTCACTGGAACTTCATGGTATGTCAAATTGGAGAAACTAGGGGAGCCTTCATTATTTACATCCAGCACAAGAGCAAAATCCGGAAAATTTTCTTTCAATTCCTTGACATCAACTTTTGAGCGGCTTGTAAAGTATTCTTCAGCTACAGCCATGATACATAATCAGCAAATGAATTTCAACTACACTTCTAGGAAAATATACTAAATGAGCTCATTTAAGATACTTACCAATATGGGCCAAATTAAACATTGCAAGAAGCAGCCCGCCTTCCAGTGAGTTCCCCATAAATAGTGAAGCAAAGGCCGCAAGAGCCATCAATACATGAATATTAATTTTCCCACCAGTAATCTCCATGAGAGCATCAAGCGATGCTGAAACCTGACATGGAGAATAGCATACCAATTTAGAAGATAGCTAGAGCAAAAGGAAATTTCCCTTACAAGATGAAAGATGTTGACCTGAGATTGTAGTCTAAATGCTCAAGAAATCAGGTACAGGAAGCATAACCTCTCAGAAAACTATATTAACCCCAAAACAGTATATCTTGCCTCTAAACAATGTGGATAATATAATTTAAGAAAAAATCCTCGGATACAAGCTGCATTGATTGTAATTCACATGTCTATATGTCTTTCCTCACCACTAAAACAGACAACCTTTGAGTCTTCCTCATCCTTGGGAACCTTCAACCCAAAACCTCAGAAGCCAGAGCTCCTAATTATGGCAGTCAATCACATTATGCATGGAAAAAATCTCTCCCTCTCTCACTCTCTTTTCCTTTAATGAATTAAAACAACTCAGTAATTAGAAAGGCTTGAAGGGAAAAGATAAACATGGAAACAATTATAGTTGTATATCCACCAAGATCCAAATATACGAGACATTTCTTCCAAACTATTTCTATATCAAGCATCCACTGATAACCAAAAATACTTAAAGAGAGTACAACATCATTAAAAGGTTATTGGATGCTGTTTGAAAGACAAAATGAAATAAAAAGAGAGATGATTTTTCATGTGTAAGACAACTCCAGATGAACCACTCACAATGTTATGAATTATGGTAATTTAATCATGACACTGCATTATATGGACATGCACGCTTGAAGGTAAACATGAAGAAGCAAGCATGAGCATTAAAAAAGAGGTCGGAGACAATAAAGAAGTGGTAGAGGAGAAAAAGAAGATTAATCCATAATTGACATAAAATCCAATTCTCACTAGATCACTGCTAGTTATAAAAAAAAAAATTATTGAGTGGAAGTTCATTGGAGGGGTGCCAGCTGTAAAAAGTATTCGTCGCGATCTAATAACCAAAAATAGGGCATCATAAGGAAGTCTAACAAAATTCCTGGTCAATTTAAATTCTCTAGAAATGGTTTACCACAAAGAATCAGTGTGATAGTAATGGATTCAAGGACAACACAGTAGTCAAGATAATGTAAGGTGCTGTTAATGCATAGTTTAAATTGACATTATCCCATTTCTAAAAGTTCCACAGCCAATCTCATAGAGAATTCATAACCGCAGGACATATGAGTAATATAGCTACAAGTAAATCGTTAGTTATGCTCATAAAGAATTATAGATTCTACCATACACATTTCAAATGAAGTTTTGAAGCATTTAAATTTGTGTACAAACCCACCAAAATTAAGAAAACCAACAGGGAGAAGAACGTACCCCAACCAGCGGAAAAGCAATGAGAGTGAACACTTGCTGAAGCGGCCTGACTGCCAGTTTCGGAACCAAGTAAGGGCAAGCCGCAGCTGCAAGAAATAACGCCACCGAACAGCAACACAGCTCCAAGTGTTCCCTGAAGAAATTGGCCAAATCGGTCCATCTAACTGCATTCGCAAATCTAATTAATGCTTCCTGCGTTCCAGTCAGCTTACCATTATCCTCATGACTGTGATGGTGGTGGGGGTGGTGGTGGTTGTGATGGTCATGGTCATGGTGGTGATGATCATCGTGGTGGCGGTGGTGGTGGTGAGATTCGGTAGACTTGGAGTGGCAGATGATGTGCCGCAGATGAGTACAACTACAGGTAGAGAAGGGTTTCGTATGTAAGGAAGATAAGAGGGTTTGGCACTGGTAATTTGGCCTGAAAGAGTTGACTCTTATTCTTCTTCGACTTCTGCAAGTAAATCCGGTGGAAGCAAGAGGAAGACGCAGAGTTTCCATGGCTGTAGACTGAGAAGAACTTACAGGTTTCAAGCCATTGATCCCCCCCAGGGCCGAGGGTGCGTACGAAGAGACAAACTGAATCTCTCTCTCTCTCTCTCTCTCTCTTTCTCTTTCCTACACTGGCCAGAAAATCAAATTACCCAAGGGAGCCCAGAGTACATGAACATTTTGGGCTATTTGGTCCAATTGGTTGTGGTCATCGACGCCACATCCACACGACACCATGTGATCATTTTTTTTTTTAAATCGACTAATTTTTTCTATGATTTAATCAAAATCAAAAAATTAAAATATTTATAAAAAATAAATATTTTGTGATTTTACCCAAAAAATTATTAAAATTCAATCTCTATACGTCTAAATTTACAACTCGTTTTTATTATCACTAATTATTTGGAGTTTATGTCTACATGTCCAAAAAATTATGAAAAATATAAACTATATAAGATGTAAAATTAATATTTATAACATAAATTTAAAATTATATATATTACTTGTTCTTTTAATATTATATCATCGACAATAATATTGTACACTAGGTACTAGGTACGGATTTCAATATTCGATGTAATTTGTTGTTCATCATCATTCAAATACTATAACCAAAACACGCAGTCATACTTAAGGATGGAATGGAATTACAAATGACAAACAATACGAGAGGATAAAGGCGGGCACATCCCCACATTAATGGTGTGTTTCGTTGAGTGAAAGAAAAAAATAAAAGGATAAAAAAAATAAAAATAATATATATTTTTTGTAACCGAATAATTATTTCTTCTCTCTTTTGTGTTTGATAGTAGGGACAAAAATAAATTTTTTATTTTTTTTGTATTTTATTTTGAACATAGGATAACTATAACCAATCACACTTAAAAATATAAGGATCATAGCATCCATTTAAACATAACACACGCTTTAAAGCTATCCGATGTGAAATAACCCCAACTCTTATCCACCCAGGCTCTAAGGCCTCACCCAACTTATGGTCAGGCCCAAAGAGGAAAGAAACTGAATACATATGGGCCATATTTTTTTTTTTTTAAATATAGGATAACTACAATCACTCACTCTTTTACCCTTTTTGATAAATTTGATGGTTATATTGTTGATGTCTTATATCCCTTGAATGAAAATTCACCTGGACATATTATAACTACTTCATTCTGGCAAGGGTTAAAATTTTAATTATGGAAGAATTACACTCAAATCTTTTAAAATTTGTATAATACTTAAACCCTTGCTATTAGTATATTCGTCAATAAATTATATTCAGACTCCCTGAAATTTATAGGCATATAATACTTAGATCTCTCAAATTTAAAATATTATATTTAAACTAAAAATACACCAAATAAAGATAGAATATCAAACATTTTAAATTTAAAACCAAAATTTAGGTTATATTATGATATTTATTAAAATAAAATTAAACATAAAAATCTAATTTTTCTTAAAAAAAATATAATTAATATATTATTATACTATCTATTATAATTTATTTTAGTCATTTAAAGAACCAAATTACCCTAATTAAAACTAGAATATATTGAATTTATTACAGTTTGACCCCTTATTTGATTTTTTAAAATTTTATTCCAATAGATAGTATAATTGTATATTAATTATAATTTTTTAAGAAAAAATTAAATTTTTATTTTTAATTTTATTTCAATAAATGACATAACAGAGTATAAATTTTAGTTGTAAAATTCATATTCTGTTATGAATGACTTAGACATTTTATTTGATTTTTTTGTTTTATTCTAATAGATAATATAATTGTATACTAATTACTATTTTTAAGAAAAAATTAGTTTTTTATTTTTAATTTTATTTCAATAAACAATATAATATAACATAAATTTTGGTTATAAGATTTAAAATATTTAATATTTAATTAGAATATTTTTATCCTAAATATAACATTTTAAACTTAAAAAGTCTAATTATTATATGCTTATGCTCCGTTTGGTAAGAAAGATAGAAAATAAGAATGATATTTATATTTATATATATATATATATATATATATATAAATACATATTTTATCATGATATTTTTATATAAAATTAATGTATACATAATATATAGACAAATAAGATACATCTCAACACAAATAATTAACTTTCAATTCACTTTCCTTTCGATTTTAGAGGGATTGATTTTGGTGATTTAGAAGAAAAATTAATCTATTAACTTTTCCATCATTTTCTTTCTTTATCATGTCTTATTTATCTTTCCAACTTTCTATCATACCAAACGGAGCACTACAAACTTGAGGAAATCTGAGTGTAATTTACTAACAAGTATATTAATGGATATTTGATAGTATAGGTCTAAGTGTTACATCCATATAAACCAAAAAGGGTCTATATGTAATATTTCAAATGTCAGAGAATTTAAGTGATTAAATGACAAATTTTAAGTAGTCTAGATGTAATTCTCCCTAAAATTATTTTACTTTTTTTCATTTTTTATATGTATACATATTATGTACACAGGTTTTTGGCTCTCTGTTATGTTCAATGAATGTTAAAGTATCACAATTTTATTCAAAGAAATAAAATATATAACCTCATTTTTATTGAATGAGGAAAAAAAAAAAAGTAGAGATTGCAGAAGTACCCGCAAAAACAAAAAGATTTCTTAGCCATACCCAAAACTTTTGGGTCCAAGAAACATCAATTAAGTGATTAACCAATCTCAAGGGTTGATGTTGGGATCCGATGATAATCAAAATTTTAACCCCAAGATACCTTAAATGATAAGATCAATAATCTATAAACTCAGACATCTTGAATTCAAATCTTAACAATATTTTAAAGTCAAATCAAGAAAAATTTATCTCTCATAAATATCTTAATCCTGACGTAAATGATCTGCCTTTGACCAAACTGAAAAAGAGATTAATTGAGGTGCGCGTAAATTGACACAAACATTCTTGACCGTTGAACAAAAAAAAAATAATAATCAAGATTTTTTTTTGGAAGTCATTAGCAACTTAGAGTGATGCTCCGCTCAATATTCTTCAAGCCACAATTATGAGCATAATGTATTTAAAACCATTCACCGTACTTGTTCAATTCTTTCAAATTTCTTAACCATGTGGCCTGTTCATGTCAAAGAAAACTTCGATTCGGTCGGTTAGAAGAAATCTGTACAAGTAAATACCTTGGAAATCAAAAATATAATTCTTGTAAAATTGATCACACTTAGAGATGTCAAAGGACCGAAGCGGGGGTAGGAGATATAGTCTTCATCCCCGTATCCGCTTAAAAAATCTTCGTCCATCCCCGGTTCACCCCGCTAACGGGTATAATTTTCATCCTCATCTTCGGGTAAAGTTATAATTCTCGTCCCCATCCCCACTTCTCCCATATCCGCCCAAGCCCAAGCCTAAGCCCAAGGATCCAATTAAACACAATCATGCACAATTTATAATGTAATTATTGATTGGAAAACATAATCAATCGAGTTCAAGTATCCAATCAAACACAGTCATACAATTCTGTTCTCTTTTTTTTTACTTACCAAGCAGTGCATAAGTAAAATAATGTTATAACAAATGGTACCTCCAATAATATTTTCGTAAAGTAAATTATTTTTAGTACAACCCAATTTCATCATAAAATTTTCAATAACACCCTCGTAGTGGGAAAACTTTTTAGGAAAGCAATTTCCATTTGCTTCTTATAGAAATTAACACAACCATTTCACATGTTTGTGGTAAGAATCTGCAACTTGGATGCCCAACCACTAGATCACAATAGCCCGCCTCAAAAAAGCAAACCTTAACTGAGCAGGGGTGAACAAATAGGGAAGCCAAGAGTGATGCACAAAAAATTAGCCTTTTAAACAGCCTAAGTTTGAACAACCAAAATCAACCTTAGCCTTGAACAGCCTTAGCCTTTTGAACAACCAAAATCAACCATCACCAGTATTTGAATCATTTTTATTCATTTAAAAACGAAACGACTCGTTGGCATTTCCTCAGCAACATTTACTAACTGAAATTGCTCATGCAAAATCCTCCCCCCCCCCCTTCCTCAACCCCACCCAAAACCCCTAGATCGCATGACCCACAATCTACCCCTAAGTAAAACTCTTCCCCTTCACTTGCTGACACTTTTTCACTTCAATCAGATCCACAATGTGCTGGGTGAACATGTGGTAATGTCTTAGACATTTTAACGAACACTTAATGTGCAGGATGGGCATGTGGTGATGGTGGCTGTTGGTCGTGAGTGAAGAAAAGGGCAGGGGGCTGGTGATGCTGGTGGCATGGGGGCAACAATGATTGGCTCTAAGCCGCTGGCGGTGGATGGGTAGCAGCACAAAGGGCAGAGTTTGACACATTCACACTGACATGAGCTCTACCTTTATAGGCTTCGACTATGTTGCTATTCAATTCCTCAGATCGATTGAGTTATCAGGAAATTATGAGTCATTTAAACCTATCAAATGATGATGTCCTAAGACTGCTCCATTCCCTTTCATGTGCAAAGTATAAGATTCTTAACAAAGAGCCGAACACCAAAACAATCTCACCAACTGATTCCTTTGAGTTCAATACCAAGTTCACTAACAAAATGAAGAGGATCAAGGTAGTAATTGAGATTGGATTCAGTATGGACCTCAAAATCTCATTTTTGGAGTTATTTCCTTCTGTCAATATTTATAAAGGTTCAAAATCTCATTTGATGGAAATGCAAATTCCTCTAAAACATATTAAAAACAAGAATAATCACTTTCGGGCTTTGTGGAGGCAACCCACAAGTAGAAATTGCACGGCATACTAACTGCTACCAATCACATAGAACATAGAGAGGAAAGAGAGAGAACCTGGCTGACTTGTGGCTTCGAAGACGAGACAGCGAGAGAGGCGACTGGCGAGAGTCTCTGAGACTCAAAGAGGAGGAGGCGCTAAGGTTCGATCGACTGAGAGAAGCAACAACTGAAGATGAATGATGAAGAGGTGCGGGTTTGCAAACTCAGATCACCATTTGCGTGTGTGAAAGACAGAGAGAGAGGGGCGGCGTTGATTGAGGAAAAGGAGTAATTTATGCCTAGGGTTTTAATTGAGTTTATATATATATATATATAGACGGGACGGAGGTAAGGGTAAGTTCATCCCCGCCTTCATCTCTGCACAGATTTGTACGGGTATCCCTGTATACGTCCACCGTCCAATATATATCGTCCATCCCCGGTCCAAACGGAGTAGATTTAGACGAATACTCGCTTTTCCCTAGTCCATTGCCATCCCTAATCACACTTGTTCTTGACAATATACTAAATTTGACATATCATTTTTGCTATGTCAAATCCTTTAAATACATTATTTTTATTGAGTAAAGAAAAATTTAATGCAAAAGCTTCCAAATAAAATTTGAAGGGCAAAAAAGTAAAATCATGAATGGCCTAATCTCTCTCTTTTTCCTTCTATTTTCCGCCCAAATTTGGAAGAAAAATTTTGGTGGGCAAGGAGGAAAGAGAATCCTTCCAACTTTCTTTTCCATCCTATTTTCCCTTTCACCAAACAGTGGAAACTTTTTGTTTCCATTCTATTTTCCTTCCACCCTATTTTCCACTCTACCGAAGGGAGCATTAAATTAACTAGTGGCTTTGACGTGTGCAATGATCAATCCAGTGGCGGCGCCACCCCTCAACTAGGAACTTTGAAATGGTATAAACTTTGAGTATAGAAGCTTTGGACCTTCTTACTTCCCAGCCAGCCACAACAGTCCTACGTTAGAATAACACAAGTTGCTGTCTGGGTTGGATGCTCTGCACCCATACCTGCCTCTATTATTCTTTTGTCAAGCTCTGATCATATCCACGAAGATTTTCATTAAAGGATTCACCTATATAACCCCCCACCACCACCAAATGAGGAAGGCCACAGCCTCACCTTCCTTTTATTGAAATATCTTTCTGTGATTGTATCTCCATCATTCTACTTATTTTCTACTGAATTACTTGGAGCTTAAAAAATGGACGGAAGGAAAGTGATTGGTTGGGCTGCCAGAGATACATCTGGATTTCTGTCGCCTTACTCATTCCATCTCAGGTCTCTCTCTCTCTCTCCCAAAAAAAAAAAACCCTGGCAGAGTGACTAATGTTTTCAGTCTGAATGAACAGGAAAACAGGTCCCGAAGATGTATTGTTCAGGGTGTTATATTGTGGGATAGATCACACTGATCTTCACCAGATGAGGAGTGAGATTCACACTACCAACTACCCTTTGGTCCCCGGGTACGTCCTATTCTATCACCATGCAACTAAAACACTTGGTGAGAAGTGTCTCAAACATACTGCATGGTATGTCCTTTCTAATTCACATTCTCCTGCAAGTTTCGAAGCATAAAGCAAACTAACAAGAACAAAAAGTTACGAGATTCAGATTGTAAACCTTACATTGACATACCAAATCTTCATATGTCCTACACATCTCATCATCATTGATCTTGATACTCTTGTGGTGTGTTTGTACACAAGTCATTTTACTTTGTACTTGTAGTGGTTCTTGACGGATTTGAAGGCATGAAGGGGTGGGAGAAGTTGTGGAGTTGGGTTCCAAAGTGGGTAAGTTCGGAATAGGGGATGTTGTAGGAGTTGGTTGTATTGTTGGATCATGTGGGGAGTGCTTACCCTGCAAGTCCAACATGGAGCCGTACTGCAGCAACAAAATTTTCACTTACAATGGCGTCTACTATGATGGAAGGCCCACTCAGGGCGGCTACTCTTCTGCCATGGTGGTTCATCAAAGGTATGCCCAAAACCATCTTATATCATTCCCTTCTCTTTCTAAACTCAACTCAATTCAATACAGTTCCCTAATTTATCTCCTACTAATGATACTTTTCTACTTCTATCTTGTTTGTCACATTTCATTCCTCTCCCATATACAAATTTACCAATTGACAAAAATTGAATGTAGGTTTGCTGTTAAAATACCAGAAAAGCTTGCACCAGAGCAGGCAGCACCTCTTTTATGTGCTGGGGTAACAGCTTATAGTCCATTGAAACAATTCATGGGGTCTAATAAGGCCATCAAGGCAGGAATCTTAGGATTGGGAGGGGTCGGTCATCTGGGTTTGCTGATAGCAAAGGCAATGGGCCATCATGTGACGTAGATCAGCTCTTCCGATAAGAAGAGGGTGGAGGCATTGGAGCAATTAGGTGCAGATGCTTACCTGGCGAGCTCCAATGCAACTGAGATGGAGGGAGCTGCCAACAGCCTTGACTATATTCTCGACACTTTACCAGCTGGGCACCATCTGCAACCCTACCTTTCACTTCTCAAATTTGATGGAAAACTATTGGTAGTTGGAGCTGCTCCAGAGCCACTGCAATTTGAAGCGGTTGATGTGATTCTGGGTATGCAGCGTATGCCATTTCCCATCCTACATAAACTAGACCGAGCAATTGTGCATGAATTCAAATACCGTGTGTGCGCCTGAAATGTCACTGTGAGATGAAGTCTTACACGTTGATTTGCTTTGGTTTTGTACAGGGAAGAAGACGATTACGGGGAGTTTCATTGGAAGCATGGAGGAGACACAGGAAATACTAAATTTTTGGGCGGAGAAGGGGTTGCCGTCAATGATAGAAGTAATAAAGATGGACAATGTGAACAGTGCATTTGAGAGGATGGAACAGAACGACGTGAGGTCCAGGTTTGTGCTGGATGTGGCCAGTAGCAACCTAGAGTGACAATGCCCAACACCCACAGTGGAAGTCATTTTTCGGGTACACCTACATTGCGAGTTGAGTTTTCACAATAATGTTGTTCACTACAACCATCGAATAAAATTTGATATGATTCCATGAAATATTTGAGCCTGCCCAATTCTATTTTCCTTGCTGCATGGTCATAAAGTGTTACAGGTAAGGAGCACTTGGTCAGTTTTACCAAGTAGTTCTCTTCATTGTACAAAGCTCTCCGTATGGAGTGCCAACTTATCAAATTAACCAGAAAATGAAAAAGAAAAATAAATGTACTGTTGAGATTGCTAGATCATCGGAGCTAAGAAATACCTGCATGGCCAAGAAACTCTAGTCAGATGCTTTTGCTGTATGACAATGGTGAGTAGAATTATACATCTAGGGGAGCCAAATGAGTTGCTGCTCAGCTATCTTTCCCCTTGCTGCTTCCTTCAGAAATTGTGGAGCCATCATAAGCGGAAAGAAAGAAAGTTCCCTGATTCTTCTGTAGAAACCTGTATGGTGAAGAAGGAATCTCGTCATCATCAAATCTTTTAGTTACTAGTACACCTATAATTTAAATGACAATCCAGGACCCCACTACGCCACCACGCCCTAGAACTCAAAATTGCTATACATGACATGGAAAATGAATCAAAATATGATCCAAGAACTCCAAATGTATGCCAACATCCAATTAGCCTGAAGCAAAAAAAACGTCACCAACTAGCCATTCATAAAATAGTTAAGAAAAAAGTTCTCACATCCAGTACCATTGACAAAAGAAGTAGCCATCTTTCCAGAACAAGAGAGGCAGGTATTTCTGGCATTGACTAAATTATTACACAAAAAGGAAATGGACCTCAACCATGATCATGCACAAGAAATGAATAACATAAGATGGGAGAGTATCAATGGAGCTTCAAGGCAGAATGCCTTCAGATGATTTCAAGACCAAGCTCAGTCCTCGTTAATGAGGGTCGGAGGGGGGGAGATTGAGAACATCCAAACTTTCGGCCTTGTGTGCGCAAAGCAGATGTCCTCATGTTCGAACCCACAACATTTAAAGTAAATAGGCTGAATTTTGACCACAGATATCAATGAAGTACTACTTGATTATGTAATTCAATGATTATTTCCCACGCAGATAGAATTACAGTGATTTTATTTTTTTATTTTTAGATATCTAGACTAGATGCAATACTTCTCACCCTCAAACAAAAAGTCACTTCATATAATATAAAGAAGAGAACTTATACTTGAGAAAGTCGAGCAATTTCTGCTGCAAGCGAATCATTGTCTCCTCTTCGATGGTAACATAAGCCAATAACTCAGGCAACTTCACTGCAAACACTAGTAAGTACATTAAAATCATGGGAAAGACTTTTAGAATTGAAGGGTAAATGATAAATAATAGTTGCAGCTGCTACCTGGTTGCAACAATGCTTATCAAACATAGCATTTAACATGCACTAAAGATATTATGATCATGTTAGAATAAAATATCATAACTCAAAACTCCATGCAGAATAAAAGCCATGAGCATACCAAAGAGGCGTAGGAGATGTTCAGCACCATATATACTCGATGGAGAGACATTATCCGTTACTGCTTCATGGTACTGTTGGCGTTCCTTTTTGTATAGAAGAATAACCGGCAATGCTTTGTCAAAGTAACACCGTAATCCATTAAGAATTTCTCCAACTGGATCGGTCATCCTGTTATTGAGGAAAAAACAGTGGGAAAAAAAAAGGTAAACGTAACTCATCGCCGTTATAAGACATCTCTTATGAAGTCATCTTATATGCAAGACGACTTAACACAAGCAACCCTCATCAATGCAAAGCTAAATTATCCTATAACCCATATCAACCTCATACAAAGACATAGAATTAAGTCACCACATAAATATCACAATATCCACAACTACAGAGAACTCATGGATGCTGCTGGAAGCATTTAAAATATCTTCATACAAGTAGAGAGCTACCCAAACTCAATGAACAATTGAAATACATGTTTACATGTGTGGCTTGTACACAATGAAGGACTCACAGATGTATTTAATACATCCTGCCCATCAATTTTGCTGTGTTATAAGACACGGTTAATTATGCACCAACTAAAAAAATCCCACAGTGGCACAAACAGCATAATGATATTGCGCTTAAGTAGTGTTCCACAAATCCAATGAAAAAATAAGCTAAAATATCCAATCAGGTATACAAAGTTTTTGGATGGAAAAATTAGCAAAGCAGTGTTTTAAATATCTCCCAAAAGAAGCAGCTATTCAAATTCCCAAGCACATACAGGGAAGACAAAATTATCATACTTACATGCCATCCTTTTTTGACCTATATTCAAGGTACTTTGTCAATATATCATCAACACTGGGAGAACGTGGAAGTTTAACAAGCTGCAAACAAAGAATTTTCCAACAATAAATATTCTCAAAAATCAATTGCTAGTAGAAATATTATGCAGATACAACTTGATTTCCACAAAAGGGCGTGCACAAAAAACCAAAAAAAATTCTACAAAGAAATGTATCTAAGTACCAAAACAACAGAGAACCATTAATGCCAGTGCCACAGTAGATTTAAAGTCGGACTTAACAGAACTCCAAGGTCAAGGAGAAGAACAAAAGGAACATTGGTTAGATTGGTGAGTGTAGACAAGACGGGTCAAGAACAGATTTTTTCCGGCATGTATTTATTCCCAGATTTTAAGGTGAAGTTCAAAACACACCATAGGAGCAGATGAAGCAATCCAAAGAGATTGCTCAATAAATCACCTAGTCTACAACAAGGAATACATTTCCCACAAGCCAGAGACTAGGTACTTAAAAAATTCCTTTCACATCCCAAGAGGCTAGGAGAAAAACTTATCCCTAAATCAAGATATAATAAAAAATCACAAATCTCTTGGGACTCTTAGAAATCATGCCTATTTTATTGACCTTACAATAAAAACCCAATGAAAAACGTAACAAATATGCATCACATTCAGCTCAAATCCAGGCTGATTTGAAATTTCAGGTGGACTCTCCCGTAAAAGGTCTGGGTTAGAAGAAAGATGGGGATAATGAGCTTGGGGAGATGGTTCAGGTGGCGTCTGATCTTGGATTCCAATGGGCAAACATCAGATCTAGCTGTCCTTCAAAGTGGTTTTGACTTGGTCAGAATGGTTGTCAAAGTCTCGGCCATTGAATCCAAGAGTTTGGCCATGCGTTAGCTAATGGCAGCACAAGCTTTGGAGCAAAAAACCCTCAAGTGGTTGATGGAGAGCCCACCCCCATCAACCACTGCAGGCTTGTCTGCTCCAGTGTCGCTTTCCCTCAAGCCCAAACATTTTTGAACCTGATTACCACATCCTCCTCCAGTGCCCAGCCCCTGCAAGCCCTTATGATCATGCATCAACTTCCTCGCTGTTCAGCCACCATGGACAAACTGTACAGAACTTTCCTAATCATCCTCAACACTGCACCCAAGCAAGAATTTCATTCTAAAACAAATCCTTTGCGCCTTGAACGAATTTTAGCATGAAAGCTCTTGCTCAGTACAAACATATCTTCTACACTAAACTCTCAGCATTCTGCATCAACCATTAAACACCAAACCCAACTAAAACTCAAACGTACGCAAGCTTTAGAAATCAAATTCTCATTCAAAACACTAAAACAGAGAAAAGCCATATGATGGGTGAGATGTGTAAAGAGAGCTTGTATCCCACATCTAATAATTAAACTCACCCAAGGTTAATTTATATACTTGACTGGCTACTCCACTCATTGCCATTTAGATTTGGGTTGGATACTTTGACATAATATCATAGCTGCATCTTGGGTGGTCAGTGGAACAAGTCTCTTACCCATTTAAATTTCTCAGTATGCATGGTTGTTTGTCTGTTAATCCCACGTGCGAGCCCGGGTCCCATGTGAGGGAGGGTGTAAAAATAACTTCTATCTACATAGAATAATTAGGAACACCTAAGGTTGGTTTAATACTTGAGGGACTACTTCACTCCTTGGCAATTAGTTTTGAGTTCGATACTCTAACAGATCAACCTGGTTTTAGCATTTAAGCATGACACAAACCATAAGAACAACCACGAGCACCAGCTTGCACCCTTGGTTTTGATGCCATGGATGAGTGTTGAAGCTTATAAAGTTCATGTCTATCTGAGGATTCTAGGTCAGCTGATTCTCAGGTCACAAATCAACACAAACACAAGACCAACATGAAAGCGGACTCAAAAAAACATCCAAAGAAAACCCAGAACCATTCTTTAATCACCCACAACTCACCAGAAAGGTTACCCCTGTTCCCCCTATCCTTAAGCACCATGATGAAGACTCTGAACCAGACATACTCTATGCATGCCAATGAAGGTGGAAAAAAAGTAACTGGCAAAACCTCCTCCATCGTGGGGAAGATGGCTTCAGTCAAGGGGGCTTTAGTCAGCAATAGGTGGCAAGAAATGGTATGTTTTAGTGGAGTTTAATTAGACTGGGATAGATTAAAAGGGGGAAGAAGAGATCAGCCATGAAGCTATTGAAGAACTTTCTCTCTCTAGATTCTAGAGAGAAGCTCCACCTTCCCGAATCCCGAGGATAAGAGAAAATTGCAAGAGGAATTATTGTAGCCTATCATATGATGATGGGGAAAAGTTTGGTTGTTTGTAAGTTCAATTGGACAAAAGAAAGGTTCTTTTTTCGAGAGAAACAACAGAATGTTGATTTTCGCCAGTTACCTATACTAGCAATGTATAACATACCCTGCACGTAAACAAATTTAAATAATATTTTTTAATAAACATGAATTATATGTATAATCAAATTAAATAATAAATTAGGTGTCGAATAATTTATCTGTATTTTAATTATTACTAAATTCAATTATTATTTTATTCTATAAGTTTTTAAGTACTTAATCTGTCATTTATTTAGGAATTTCAACGACCAAAAAAAAAATTAGGAATTTCTTTTTTATTTTTTTAAATAGATTAATTAGATCGCTTATTATGTTATTATATTATTGCATACCAAAAAAACAAAATATACCACACATTTGACCGTGAAATTCAATCTGATATCTACATGTGTATAATAATTTAACATATATAGGATTTTACTTCTTTATATAAATATAGAAAATTGTATATAATTATACTATTAATAAATGAGTTCAAAAGAATTAAGAAATCCTTATAAAAGAATCAAGAAATCCTTATAAAAGAATCCAATATAAGTTGACAGTCAAATTGGAGTAAAAAACAAAAATTAGATGAAAATATATAGGTGGGTATAATTGAATTTAACATGATAATTAGGGATAAAATAGAAAATCAAATATTTTTCCTAGATTTTGACATTTGTAAGTAGTATAGATAAATCTGCCAAAACCCAAAAAAATTATAAAGAAAGACATAAATTTCTCTATTAAGTAAACAGTGTGTGTCCTATGTTACTGTGGTTTCGACATAGCAACTAATGGTGTGTCCTATGTTACTGTGGTTTCTACATAACAACTAATGTCAACAAAATCATTTTCAAGCAGCACCAAATGAAAGAAGTTACGTGATGAGAGAATGATCCCAAAAATAAGGACCTTATCCTGCTGAGTAATGGACTCCCAATCATCAACTAGTTGCTTTTTCAGAGTAGATGGGATTTGAATCTTGACGAGCTTTTCACCAGCAATGTTGTCCGTCTAATAGTAATAAAACAATTATAACAAAATAAGTAGAGAATTGAGAAGATTAACAACAATAACAAGACTAAGTATAGTCTGTGGGTGTGCTTGTAGCCCTGCTTTTGCCTACACTGGAACTTCTGGAAGCAAGCAAAATTCTTCCACAAAGCATTATTGCAGGCAGAATATGAAGAAGCCTACAAGAGTTTTTTTTTTTTTTTCTTTTCTGATTTGAATATGGAGATCTATTGCTGTTATAAATAGGATAGAATGTTTACACATTTGAGCACATGCGCTCTGCCTAATGAAAAAATTTACTCTTCATTATAGCATGCATCATCAGAATTCCAGCATCAATTACAAAGTTCAAGTCAAATAAAAATTTATGTCCCGTAGAGACCAAAATATGTTGATTTCAGTTTAAGGACAACTTAACAAAGTCAGAAATATGACCAAGTAAAAAGTTTAATATAGCTTAATTTCTTGAGGTTGAAAAGTATCATCATGATTTCATATTGATTCTGAAGGAACCAACCACAATGCTACACCACTAAATGATTAGTCTCATGGATGATATTTATTTTTTACCAATATGAACCAACATGTCACTCTGTCGACAAGAAATCAAAAGCCATCAAGTATAAACGGCATTAGATCTGAGTGCTCTTCTTGCTGATGCCGCATAGCATCCCGCAAGCTAGTTAGTTTCTTTCTTTCTTTTCCCAATTACCCAAACAAGAAAAAATTATATTAGAATCTTAACAAAAAGGACCGACATATGTCATAGTTCCTGCATCTGGTATAATTCCAAACCCATACAAAAGTTCATCACTAAGCCTATTCAGTGAGACAGTCAAAAGCACTCCTACCCTTTCATAATTCCACCAAAAGTTTGATAAAATTGATAGTAAGAAAACCTAAAATGAAGATTCTTAAACAGGCCAAAAAAATTGTGGAAGACAGACCTTGAATGCACGAATAGAACATGCATAAAAGGACAACCTATCGCTGACTAAACACCATTTTGCAAAAACAATGACATGTTTTCTATCGTGGCAGACTGGAAAAAGTGCAAATAATAAACATGTATCCACTAATGATGCCAAAAAATACCTTTTACAATTTTACTTAGACATATTAAGTACTGATAGAACTAGAAAACAAGTATTTAAAGAGCAACTTGCATTAACAGATCAAAGCAGACCTCAACTCCCGAGTCACCCTTTCGCTTCTTCCCCTTTGCCACTGCAGCAATATCCATTACCAGAAATAAGATTATCAAAGTGGTCCTTCCTCAAATATTTTGAAACTAAAACACTGTAAGACTTTAATCCAAAAAAGCTTTGCTACCACCACATTCACATTTGCAGAAAAGTGAACGATAAATGCATTAGATTGAGGTGTAAGCTTTGATGCTTATACCAAACTAAAAAAATAAATAAATGTAGCATTCACATAGGAGGGCTCTGGTACAATATAGCAGGTTAAGTAACCTTAGGCTTATCTAAAAAAGAAGAATGAACTATTTGTTGTGTTACATTGGTCGGGTATAAGATCCTAGGGCCATGAAGCCACATAATTGACTTAGCCATTTGGGATGGTTCAGGCCTGCAATAGTGGTATAGAGTGATCCTGGAGTGCCACATCCTGATGTGGGGACTCCATGCGATTGGCTAGGGGCCTTCTCGCAGGTAAGCTAGACAAGTTCATGACAGAGGCATCAAGAGATCAGATGAAGGAGAAACAAGCAAAGTAAAGGATGTAGTCCATGCATAAGATCCCTAGGCCAGGTAATCACCTAATAGGGTTAGGCTTTTGAATGGTGAGGGCCAGTGACGTCTAGATAGAAGGCACACTAACAAATCACTAACACCAAGTTGCTCCAAAAGGTGAATTCATGAGACAGCGTATTACCAGCGATCTCCTCGTGTATACACAGCTTAACTTTTTTTCACAGCAGCACACAGTGCAAGGCTTCCCGTAGACATAGGAGAGGGGGAGGGATTTGGAGAATAAAACTAATTTCAACCTATCTTTCACTACGAGAAGATAGTCCAAGTAGACCTGGAGCACTCAAAAGATTATCCCATGTTTGTAATTAGCTTTATTTTGCATTTGGAAAGGGATATAAGAGATAACATCAAAAATTCTATGTCAAAACATATAATAAAGGATATCTAAAAGTGGGAGTATGTTGAGACCCCTATTTGAGAAAATAATTCAGAAACAACGTAGGTCAAAACCTAAGGACGAGGAGTGATGACAACTACACCACAGTACAGCACCAGACCAGCCGTCCACACAAGTGAACAAGAGATTCAAATGGTCTGGTTAACTTACTCGAACCCAAATTACGTACTGCACCCCAAAAATAAAACGACATAGAGAAATAGAGTTGTGGCCCCCAATTTTTATAAGCACTAGTACAGGCCATTTAAAAGGAGAGAAAAAAGAAAGCCAAGTACATGCCAACCACAGAAACAATTTTCGCAAATATAATGATGAAGAAAAACAATGCCAATAATCATACAACAAAGACTGACAGCACAACAATGATGTAAAAAGGAGTAAAATTGAAATCCAAAGAAAAAGAAAAGAAAAGAAAAAACAATTTAAAAAGTTCTACCGTTATTCTTCAAGTCCTCTTTATCCATTTTTGCATCTGCAAATCCAAGAAAAGAATGAATGATATCATCATGGCAATTCATAAGAAAATGCAGAGCTTACATGTCAATTCCCCTATATATACAATTCCATCAAAAAACAAATGAAATTGTAAACAAATTAAGAGTACATTCTGTATCAAAGAGATTCAACAAGTGTAATTAGAAGTGAAAGAAAAGCAAACTCATTTATGCACTTTCATAGCGAAACAATGAAACAGGCACAAACCATGAAATTTCCCTTTCAATGCACATATGACTTTGAAGGACTGAAGCTTGTGGGGTTCAACTGATAGAGTTAAGAGGCTTGTAACTAGTTGTACAAGAGTGTTTTGATCTGCACAACATAATGTTCAATCTGTGTGTTTACAGTTTTTCCAAGCCACTTCTATAGCACCCTAATTATTGAAGTAAGTCTTGGCGATCATCATAGTGGGAAATGCTATGAAGCGTCGGCAAACATTGGAGCCCCTATCTCTAGACATGTCCTGTTTTTGGCATGCATATCACAAACATTCACCAAAATTCCCAAGCACATGAGGAAACATGATTTGTCAACTATAGGGTCATCATCTCGATTGACAACAAGAAAGCCTCCAACCACATAGACTTGCACATTGTTGAACAGCATTGCACTCCTCTAACATTAGAGGTCGTGCTTCTGCCACACCATCAATGAAGCAATTAAGCTTCTATACGCATAACAAAAATATCTGTTTATCATGGTGGCTGGTGTCCTAAAAAGACTTATCCTCGGAGCAACCAAATAAGAAAGATATCATCCAGTTTTGGTTGCATGTTTCACACCTTCTTGACTCACAATTTGAGCAACCAAATAAGAAATACTTTATCTAGTTGTTGGTTGCATGGTACACATCTTCTTGCCAAAGACTCCATGCATTTATACTGACAATTTGAGCTGATTTCAGCATTTAAATAAAATCAGAATAACTCTCTACTTGGGACTGAGATGCGTGTGCATCAATTGTTCCAAAAGAAAAAAACAAGCAAGAACAAGAAAAACATGTGGAGTTAGCATTTGGCATTTTTCTTCACTAAGGTTGAAGTTAATATCTTGATGTCAACACCAGTATAAGTGTCCTATGAACTGCTAACAACTCCATTTGCAGAGTAACGCCCTTTGAATTCCATTAAGCTGTTTATGAAATAGAACAAGCAAATTCTTGAAGCATAGTTGTGTCTGGCTAAAACACCTTACTAGCATAGCAAGGAAAAGCCTTGACATGTGTTAATTATGCTTCCGATGTCCAAGAGACCAATTTAGTAATATGAAAAAGAGATGTGCAGCTGACTAAGGTCAACTGCGTCCAAGTCTTCTTTAATAGCAACGGTTATAATGGTTTAGTAGTTCTAGCTACTACGATGCAAAAACATAGGGCTGGAATTAAGACCCATTAGGTGTACAAGTTACTTTTGTTGAATACTCTTCAAACAGAGTTTGTTTAAGATAAACAGATGTTAAGGCTACGTTCTAATGACAATTCTTATTAACATTGCTCATATTCCAACTCAAAATAAAAAGCAAAGCTATTAGTCTACAGGCAAGTCAAAAAGAAGTAGTTGGGTACCACACAAGACCATATTTCGTATGTCCGACCAAAGGTGAGACCATGTAAACGAATTGAACATGTTTAATAAGTCTCCACCAGTTTTGAAGGTGATTTTGAGTAGTATGGTGCTTAACTAGTTTTCCATATTAAACATAGATGGTGATCATATCATTTGTGAACCTAGAAAATGAGGGAAAGAACCCTAAAACCCTCATCAGATTCTCCTTTTCAGCTTTTACCTGTTCTTTCACTGAATATGCACATAATCAACTCTGTGGTGTGAAAGATTAGAATAAACTTGAAAACTAAGCAGCGTAAACCATCCTTAGCCCAGGAATTGAAAACCTTATCTGTCTTGAGATGTTTCACGAAATAAGAAGCCTCTCCCTAGCTAATTCACTAATATTATCAACTAGATTCATAAAATAATTTGAACACAAGTGATTGCATCAATATTAGAGTCCGAAGTGGAGATACCAGTAGAACTTTTTGGCCTTGTTTGTGCCGATCGACCTGGTTTTGCATTCTTGTCCATGCCCTGTTTTTTGTCAAGGGCCTGCTGCTTCAGGACGTTCTCTTCAGTATGTTTCATCAGACGGTCTGCACGGACCCATTCATCCCAACTGTCGGCAAGATATCCAAGCTTCACTATCTATTCTAGTACATTTTTGGCAATTGCCGAATTTAAAGTACAAAAGCATCTTTTAGCATTATCATAAAGTTCAATGAATAATTATTGCAGCCTAAGCATGTAGATATACAAATCCATTTGTTTGCACAAATCCTGCTTTGCTACAGTGAATCTACTAGACAAGGACAACAATGTCATTATATGTGTGTTCCAAACTACTAATGCAAACAGAACATGCTCAGTATGGCACTGAGACAGGACTGTACTGTCCCAATGACAAAAGTTCATTCCATTAGCATACTGCCCCCACAATGGGTATTCAGTTTCAAACATCGCTGCCAGGAATGGTCAGTGCGCAGATAGGCAGCGTCAAATCCACACACCTTATGCGATCAAAATGGTTAATTACATAACGGTGCTAAACTCCAATTCCACATTATGTAAGCTAATCAAAAAGCCCCATGTTTTTACCATAAGAAACATAATAGGAAACCAAAAAAAGTGTTTGAAAGCGATGAAAGACAATATAGGCAGGTCACTTAAACAGGGAAAAAAGGAAAACACAAACCAAAAAAAAAAGGAAAAAATCAGTATCCTCAAAGCTGTCGCCAGTTCAATCCATGACTGGACCAATTAAGAAATTTCACTATCCCTGATCTACTGGTTTAAAACACAGTCAATAGGGACTGGAGGAAGCAGATTGAATAGACCAGTCAAACCGGCCCCATTGCAGTCTCTCTACTGCAGAGACAGAAAAAGAGGTTATTCTGACCATCTCTCTGTGCCCACCCTCTATTATAGTATTAGTAAGGGGTTGAAGATGAACAATAAGTGAGATGATCATATCTATAAAACATATAATAGCAAGACCCGCTGATTAGAAGGCACCATTGGAAATTTAAGAGTTATCTGACCACAATACACAGGAATAATCCTTGGCAAACTAAATCAATAAAAGTTCTTTGTAAAGTTTGAAAACTCCTGACATTCAACTAAGCATGCTACTTCAAAATCTTCAGGTATAATACCCCAGATTTTGCATCACATGGGACTTGATAAAACTACAATTTAAAACTATTTTCTGATCAAGTCCCCTATATGAGGTTGCCCAAGAGAATAATAACACCATAAAACCCTCGTCATTTCAGGTTAATGAAATTCAATTCTACAAGTAAATATTTAATTTGTAAACAAAAACCAAGGAATGGAAACTCGGCCAAACCACACCAAAACCTAAATTAGCGGTTAGATTAAAATTCTATAAAAACTGATGTAGCTTGGTATTTTGTCCCCGTTTCAATTTTCTAGTTAGGACTTTGATATGATATTCATGTCTTGCTTGGCACATCAATCTTCGATAATTTTGCCTTGTGATGCATGATAACCCAATCCTCCCTCAAGTGGTGGCATGCTTGAGCATGACTACTCAAGAAGAGAATGAATCCTAATAATTTAGGGAAATCGCTGTTGATAATGGTAGTCTTTTTCCCTTTTACAAATACATTTTTCAGTAGTCTATAGAAATTTGCTCGTCAACTTATCGTGCTTATCAGGTGATCTTTACCCTCCATAAAATCAGGCCCTAGCCCTAGTTGTGGATGTTGTCATTATTTGAAACAAAGAGGCTGCTGGCCCAATTTCCACTGCCTTCATTTTCCTCTCCTTGTTTCTATTCTTTTTTTGTTTTGTTACTATCCCCTGTACCATCATGTGTCCTCTTTGGAGGTTGTACATTAGAGAGGTTAGATTTCTTCCATACATCCTTTACACATCTTTTGAGCTCAAGATGCTTGAAGTCCACTTCAAGCTCTCTCCCTTGGCAAGTATTATCTCCTCCTCCCCTCTATGTTTCCCATCCATCTCTATTCCAACCCATCCACCCTTATTTTTTCACCTTTTGGCCTTACGTAATCTACTCGTGTCCTCTATATATAAAAAGATAGTTCACTAGCTGCTGTTCAAAACAAAAGTAATATAAATTTCAACGAGCTTTCATACTTCATTTAACTGAGTTACAACACCTCAAGTGTTCCTAGGTTGAGTTATTTTAGATTTTCAAATAAATTCAAGTTTTGGTGTGCATTTTCACATAGGTGGGCCTTGACGCAACAGTAAAGTTGCTCCCTTAAAACCTGACAGTGAAGGCTTCGAGTCAAGAAAATAGCCTCTCCATGTGTGGGGGTAAGGTTGCACAGATTTGACCTTCCCCAAACCCCACAGTGTCAAGAGACTCAAGTACTAAGCTGCCCTTTTCCTATATGTATTTTCTTGCTTGCTATAAAATTCAGCAGTATTCCTGTGCTAAGTTTGTGTTATTTCATTAAAGCATCAACTGTTTAAGGGATTGATTGTTAGTCTAAAAATTAACTGCTCAATTCACCTTAGCAACTATCCTCCTTGAAGGCTAGACACCCCAGACAAACTAAAAGGATTAAAACCCGTCAATGAAGCTTAGGGGGTATGACTTACTGCCACCATTCAACTACAAATTTTCGTACACCAATCCCAACACATACAATGTAAATGGGGGAATAGAGACCAACAGGCCAACATTTATTTTTGTATACACACTATCAAATTCAAATTGAGAAACAAACAAAAAGGTGTCACCAAAAGTCAAAAACAAAATTTGATAATGAGAAGAAAGGGTAGAAAGAAACTGAAAAGGGAACGCAGGAAAAAAAAAAGTAGGAGAAGGGCAAATAAAGAGGACTCAGATTTGGAACAATTGAGAAGAAGTAAAAGGGGAGGAACAATGACCTTAAGATCATACAATCTATTCGCCATTCAAAGATTTGGTCTGGGCTTGGAATTTTCTATAAAATTAATGAAAATAAACAGAAGAATACTCACTTTTTATTCCATCCCTGCAAAAGAGAAAAAGTTATATCACTCAATGCCATAGAAACGAAATACTTAATTTTACTGTACATAAATAGCAGAATGTGTGAGACTAGAATGCCACAGCATTAGTTTCTGTAACTGTATCCATTACTGAACAAAATTTGGTGTGGTTAAGATATGGATTACCAATCAAATAAAGGAAAAAAGAAAAATCAGGGATCAAACTTACAAGGTAATGAACAAAGTATCTCCATTCATTCTCTCGGATCTCTGTCTTTTGAACCTTACAAAATCAAGCATGCATTGGATCAGGTTATGAAAACATGTAATGACATTAGCCAAATTGAAATAAATAAAAGTGGTTGGAAAAAATATAGTAGTAGCTAGCTTAAAATATAAAAGACAGCATAAACATGAAATAGGGTGTTACGTGCACTCTTTGAGGAATTTAGAAAATAAACAAAAAATAAAATTGGGGAAGAAAACCCGCTTCGAGGGGGGAAAAACTCCGGCGGTTAAGTCAGTTGGCTGCCTCCTTTTCTTGCAATGTCTCTCTTTTCCTTTTTTCTTTGTCTGTCTCTTTTGGTTTTTCCCACCCAAATCTTTTTCATCTTTACCATAGGGGGATGTACACGATGTACGAGATTAGGGGATAAACACAATCACATATAAACAACGATGTACACGAGAATCAAGAAACAATTTTCTGCTTCTATCTGAAGTGGGAGAGCCATTTAATTAGAATCTTAGATAATTATCAACATCGCTCTGTCCGGTAATATGGAATCGCGGGTTCTCAACTGCAATTGGATTACATCTTGCTGAAAGTTCGACAAAAAATTCCCTCCAAAATTCAAATCCGTGAGCCCAATTCCATGTTCCCAAACTCAGAGCAAGTGAAATAAAGCTCTAACTTCCTTGAGAAACCTAAATATCATAAAACCTCTAGGGTTCTAGCTATAATTTACTCTTCTTTTCCCCAGTTTTCTCAACAGTCAAACACACACTAAGATCACAAATCTACCAGAAATAACTTCTTGTATTAAAAAGAAATCTGACCACGCACAACGACATCAAATGCAGAAAGGAAAATAGAACGCGAAATTGAGGAGAGAGACAGAGAGAGAGAACATGCCTTGGCTTCGTAGATGCGAGGACCGTGATAGGCGAGGACTTTCTCTCCTTCAGAGAAGAGGCCTGAATTGGAATCGGGGAGGTCGCCGGCGGATGAATCATCGCCGGCGGTGGCTGAGTCATCCTTGGAGCTCTGTCCCATTTTCCCAAGAAATATGTGAATCTCGGGTTTCCAAGGGCGGTCACGTTACGCGGGGATAAGCCAACTGTGGCCGAGTTTTGTTTCAAGTTTCAAGTTTTGAACTCCAACGCACAAGGAGTGTCCTTGTTGTGTTAGGTGGTGCTAGATTTGGTTAGTCTCCGGATTTCAAAATTTGGTAAGTTTTTTGGGTTAAACCATTAAAATTTTATTTCTTGTGGTTAGATTGGAAATAAAATTAATCGATATACATTTAAATTGATCCAAATATTCTTATCTATAATATAAAAAAAAATATTATTTGCTCGGGTTTTTTTTCTAAATTGTGACATGTCTGCTTATTAAAATTTGTTTAATGTTAAATTAATTCATTTATAATCAGTATTTTTCCCTATCTTTTTTTTTTTGCTTGTAAAAAAATAATTAATAAATAAATAAGATTATTTGCTAATTTGTCAAAGATTAGATTCACATCAAATAAAACTAATTACTCAAATGACAATTTGATTAAGAGAGTTATCAAGTAGGCATCTCAGTGTAATTTGAATTCGAATCATTTTAAAGTTTAGATCTCTAAGTCCCATTTAAATATTTAGTGAATTTTTATTTTTCCCGTTTCATATTTATATCTATTAAATTTGAAAACTCAAATTGAGTCAAATAATTTATTTAATTAAATTTTAGCATATTATATAAAAATTTTAACTTAGTTTTGTTGAATAATCACGTAATTTCATCGCAAATTTACATACATATATAGTTCAAATCAAATAGGGTTTTGACATCGGTGTATATGAAATTTATGATGTAAAAGATACTTAATTTGCTTTAGATTATCAATAAGGATACAAATAATATCCGCATCAGATAAAAAATGAATTGTGATTTAAATTTGTTTCCAGTATAATATGCACGTTCAATTCATGATACTTGTTTGTAGTGAGTAGTAATTCAAATTAGATTTAGGGTTTTTATTTTTATTTATTTATTTTTTGGGCTAGGAGAAAGTTAAGTACACAGTAAAGGAACAAGTTTGGAAGCTGATGATCAGGGAGAACGCCAGTGTACTTGAGGCCCAATCCCCATCTTGCAAGCTCGTGTGCTGTATCATGCTTCTCTATAAGCATATGTCATGTTTTCAATCAGGATGATTCCGGAGAATTTGGTTATGGTCTTGGATTATTGTCCACATCTGTCATGCAGTCTTTACATGTGGAACCATGATTGCGTGAACCACAATTTAAGAGTTTACTTTCAAAAATAACAAAGTTCTAGTTTTGTCTTTCTGCTCAAAGAGCTGCATCTCTCTTTGCTAAGGTTTCTGCCATGAGAGGATCAGTACCTGATTCCAGGTTCACTTGTGCTCCTCTCACTGAATCATCATGCTCCCTAGTCAATGCTGAAAAGCAAGAGTTCTCTAACCCTATTGCAGCATCCACGTTGACCTTGACACCTCCTTCTTGTGGTGGGGACCGTATTTGACTTGTAACATTATTTTATTTTGATCGTTAACTTATAGTCAAACTTTTATTTGTACTTTTGACTAAATACTCAAGCATCATGGTTTGAGATAATGTTGAAATTTGGTATAAAATACACTGATAGTCATACAAGTATGCATTTTGTGGCAATTTGATCCTCAAACTTTGAATTATATCAATTTAGATCATCAATTTCTCAATTTGTGTCACCTTGGTTCGATAAAAATTGATAATTTGAATTGATTAACAGAAATGTTCACGTCAACACGCCTGAGAGGTCACTTTAATCTCTCAAATTTATAACTTATATCATTTTAGTCCTTTAAGTTTACAATTTGTGTCACTTTAGTTTCTAAAATTTTTACAGAATCTACTAAATGTGATCACACGATAACACTACCGCCCCAAATTTCTCTACCTACAGTATAACAATACTAGTTATTGCTTATACTTGAAGGCACAGAGTAATAAAAAAAAATGTTCATCATAAACATATTTCTATTCAGACTCAAAATCAAATCAGAAACATATAAGAGAGAGAAAAATATTTAAGCACAGTTGTAATGGTGGTGATAAAAGACGGTGATGATTGTGGTAAATGGTAAGGGCTATGGGGGTTGTGGTGGCAGTTGTGGGTGGCAAGGTGATGGTGGGGGGTGGATTTTAGGTGATAATGACAGCCATGCGTGATGGCGGTGATGGTGGGCCACAGTGATGGCGGGGGTGGCGACGGTGGTTGGTGGCAGCGGATGATAGTGGACTACGAGTGGTGATGGGTTGTAATAATGGGTGACATTGGACAACGGTGATTGTGGGATAATGGTGATAATTGTAATAAGTATAAGAATCAGATAATGATCGTGGTGGATGGGGGCGGTGGGCAATGGTGGTAATATTGATGATGGGCAACGATGGTGGTTGTGTCGATGACGATGACGATGACGATGGTGGTTGTGGCAGAGGTGGTGGTGGGGTGGCAAAGGTGATGATGGTAGTGGGGTGCCGACAACAATGGGGGTGGCAGCGATGGGGATGGTGGGATGGTGGTGGTGGCGGTGATGACAACGGTGGCGTGGAGCATTAGTGGGGTGGTGGTGATTGTGTAATTGTTGTTATGGCAGAAATAGTGGTGGTGGTGTAATTGTTGTTATGGCAGAGGTGGTGATAGTGATAGTGGTGGTGATGGTGATAGTGATGGTAACAATGGTGGTGAGACGATTTCAAACACTACTTTTTTTTTTAATTGCTTATGAGAATTACTTTTAAAAATTCATCTCAAATATACCTTTAGAGAACTTTCCCTATTAAGTTTAGGTAGTTAATATTAACCGTCGCATTAACTTTAAAATAAAATTTAAAGAGATCTCAACCTCGAAAAGTAAAAATCATTTTATTTATCTTTTGAAATTTAAATTGTAACGTACTTTATTATATAGATATAACAACTTTATTATATCAAAATATGCAGAATAAAGAACAATAGTCTTTTCCATTTTCCATTCTAGCGAATTAAGACCAACACAGTGCAGAACGAACCTTCTAAAGAATCAACAGCTACAACTGAAAGAGAAACGGATAAATGTGATGATGGATTTCACGTAATTTGTAAACAAATGTGAGTCACTGGTGTGTGCCAGTGACTAATTACTTGTGCCCTCCGCCAGGGCTTGGACCGGAGTCCATAATTTTTCCGAGTGTCCGATGGTCGGTAACTTTGTGTCCCGCACCTGGGCTGGGACCTTGTTTGATGGCACCGAGAGATAATCCATCAAAAAACCCTTCAATGTTTCCGGCAGCAGCCGAGCTGTGAGACTTCAAGATGTTGAAAGGACGAGCTTCGATCGCTAAGAAAAAAAAGAACCAAGTAACAGAAGAAGTAAACAAGAACTGAAAGATCGAAGACCTCTAGACATGTTGGAAGGCAACAGAGAGAGAGAGAGAAGAGTGTTTGATACAAGAGGACTTCCTAGCTGGAAACCTGGAAGTTGGGTTTGTGTATGCAGCATAGAAGAGCTGCCCACCTATTTATATTGTCCTAAGAAATGCCATTGTACGTATCCGAGTTACAATACAAGTTACGAAATTGAGAAACCTCAAGTCCCGTGACGTAATCTTGACTAACTAAGAGAGAAATTTGCATCATTCAAACAAATGTGTTTGATAAATATGCTTTGTGTATAGGAACCAACGAGGGAAGTTCTTGGTGCTAGAAAATAAGGATATGAACAAGAAAAATAGAGATTGCGAGTCTAAATTGGATTACCAATGTTGATTTTTGGGTTCTTCCGGCGGCCTGTGTGTCATGAGAAAATGCTTTGATTACACGTTTGGGGACCAAGACCATGCAACGTTTGAATTCAACTCAAATGCATGAGGAACTGGGTTGTTGCGACTATTGGATACTATTTCTTGGTCCAGTCAATTGCCAACAAGTGTACAAAGAAAAAGGTGTCAATCGAAATTCAATTCTGTTGAGTTTTCTCAATTCTAGAATTAGGGTCATTTTTTCGTCATGGATATTACTTATGATCCAACTTGATGGTGTAAATAAATGAAAAGTGTGAACTAGAGCACTAGTGTGAATGTGTGTGTGGGCAGAAAAATAGTAGCAAGATCACAAGGAATAGGTAGTTCATGACGCTGAAGAGTTAGGCTAGTCTATTTTAATGGAATCGGTTGCTCTCTATGATTCATATTACTTAGAGAAGAAAATTGCAGTCTTTGGAAAATATAGATTCACATTATTTGGACAAAGCAAGTATTTGTCTATTTATACACTACAGTAGTGTGGTCATCAAGTAATAATGGAGGTAGTCCCTTAGTTCGCTAGAATTTTGGGAGTGAGTATTTAACTGTTAGAAATTATATTCTTAGGTGTGATGTAACATTCTAGAAGTTAATAATATGATATTTTAAAGATTGATTCACAGCCCCTCGGATAAAATCAAATGGGCTCCTTGAGCAACATCCAATAATTGCTTGATCTCATCTAGTCTATTAAAAATAATTCAAGATTAACAAATTGATACACAAAATACGCTACACCCATCACAAACCAACAATACGATTTTCGCCCGTGTCCAAAACACTTCTTGGGATACAATAGTCCCATAAGCCAGCCACACGAGCAAAGTACGTCAAAGCACTAGTTTGAATTGCAGTAGTGGCTAAAGCAAAAGGTTCAAACACTAGATAGACACGAAGCTTCAAGTCTCCATGGTTCGAGATTAACCAATTCATGGGCAGTATCATTATATCCTTAGCATTAGTAAGGTCTATTTGGTTTAAAACGGTCGCACATTTTATTACTCACATAGATTATTATATCTAATTAAACAATATTTACTCTAGTCAATAATAACATAATGTAAAATCCAAACACCTTCATTTAGAGAAAATATAATCGTGTCGTGTTATTGGTACGTACAAGAGTTATTACAACAACAAAATACCATAACGCGCACATTAGTGTCTCACAAGGATTGCTCAAACATTTTTTTCAATTTCTGAAATGACGACCTTGTCTACAATGCTTCTTGCGCTACACATGGCTACCAATGGTTTAGCTTTCTTAAGAAACCTAAACATCATAAAACCTCTAGGGTTCTAGCTATAATTTACTCTTCTTTTCCCCAGTTTTCTCAACAGTCAAAACACACACTAAGATCACAAATCTACCAACCATAACTTCTTGTATTGAAAAGAAATCTGACCACGCACAACGACAGCAAATGCAAAAGGAAAATAGAACGCGAAATTGAGGAGAGAGACAGAGAGAGAGAGCATGCCTTGGCTTCGTAGATGCGAGGACCGTGATAGGCGAGGACTTTCTCGCCTTCAGAGAAGAGGCCTGAATTGGAATCGGGGAGGTCGCCGGCGGATGAATCATCGCCGGCGGTGGCTGAGTCATCCTTTGAGCTCTGTCCCATTTTCCCAAGAAATATGTGAATCTCGGATTTCCAAGGGCGGTCACGTTACGCGGGGATAAGCCAACTCTGGCCGAGTTTAGTTTCAAGTTTTGAACTCCAACGCACAAGGAGTGTCATTGTTGTGTTAGATCGTGCTAGGTTTGGTTGGTCTCCGGGTTTCAAAATTTGACAATTTTTTTGGGTTAAATCATTAAAAATTTATTTCATGTGGTTAAACCGAAAATAAAATTAATCGATATGCATTTAAGTTGACCCAAATATCTTTAATTATAATATCAAAAAAAATTATTTGCTCGGATTTTTTTCTAAATTGTGACGTGCTTGTTTATTAAAATTTGTTTAATGTTAAATTAATTCATTTATAATCAGTATTTTTCCCTATTTATTTTTTTTGCTTGTAAAAAAATAATAAATAAATAAATAAGATTATTTGCTAATTTGTCAAAGATTAGATTCACATCAAATAAAACTAATTAACCAAATGACAATTTGATTAAGAGAGTTATCAAGTAGCCATGTCGGTCAATCAATTTAAAATTCTTATCTAAGAACCCCATTTAAATATTTAGTGAATTTTTATTTTTCTGTTTCATATTTATATCTATTAAATCTGAAAACTCAAATTGAGTCAAATAATTTATTTAATTAAATTTTAACTTAGTTTTGTTGAATAATCACTTAATTTCATCGCAAATTTACATACATAGTTCAAATCAAATAGGGTTTTGACATTGGTGTATATGAAATTTATGATGTAAAAGATACTTAATTTGTTAATCAGCTTTAAATTATCAATAAGGATACAAATAATATCCGCATCAAATGAAAAATGAATTGTAATTTAAATTTGTTTCCAGTATAACATGCATGTTCAATCCATGATACTTGTTTGTGGCCAGTAGTAATTCAAATTGGTTTTAGAGTTTTGATTTTTTTATTTTTTTGGCTAGGAAAAAGTTAAGTACATAGTAAAGGAACAAGTTTGGAAGCTGATGATCAGGGAGAACGCCAGTGTACTTGAGGCCCAATCCCCATCTTGCTAGCTCGTGTGTTGTATTTTGCTTCTCTATAAGCATATGTCATGTTTCCAATCAGGATGATTCCTGAGAATTTGGTTATGGTCTTGGATTATTGTCCACATCTGTCATGCAGTCTTTACATGTGGAAGCATGATTGCGTGAACCACAATTTGAGAGTTACGTTCAAAAATAACAAAGTTCCAGTTTTGTCTTTCTGCTCAAAGAGCTGCATCTCTCGTTGCTAAGGTTTCTGCCATGAGAGGATCAGCACCTGATTCCAGGTTCACTTGTGCCCCTCTCACTGTTTCATCATGCTCGCTAGTCAATGGTAAAAAGCAAGAGTTCTCTAACCCTATTACAGCATCCACGTTGACCTTGCCACCTCCTTCTTGTGGTGGGGACCGTATTTGACTTGTCACATAGTTTTATTTTGATCGTTAACTTGTAGTCAAACTTCTATTTTATACTTTTGACTAAATACTCAAGCAGCATGGCTTGAGATAATGTTGAAATTTGGTATAAAATACATTCATACCAAGTATGCATTTTGTGGCAGTTTGATCCTCAAACTTTGAATTATATCAATTTAGATCATCAATTTCTCAATTTGTATCACTTTGGTTCAATCAAAATTGATAATTTAAATTGACTAATGGAGATGTTCACGTCAACACACTTGAGAGGTCACTTTAATCTCTCAAATTTATAACTTATATCATTTTAGTCATTTAAGTTTACAGTTTGTGCCACTTTAATTTCTAAAGTTTTTACAGAATATGCAAATGTGATCACACGATAACACCACTGCCCCAAATTTCTCTACCTACAATATAACAGTATTAGTTATTGCTCATACCTAAAGGCACAGAGTAATCAAAAAAGTATTCATTATAAACATATTTGTATTCACACTCAAAATCAAATCAAAAACATATAAGAGAGAGAAAAATATTTAAACACCAGTTGTAATGATGGTGATAAAAGACGGTGATGGTTGTGGTAGATTATGACGGATGTGGTGGTGGTAGCCATTGTGGGTGTCAAGGTGTTGGTGGTGGTGGATTTTAGGTGATGATTGTGATTATGACAATCATGGTTGACGGCGATGATGATGAGCCACAGTGATGGTAAGGGGTGGCGACGATGGTGGGTGGCAGTGGGTGATAATGGGCAACGGGTGGTGATGGTTTATGGTAACGGGTGGCAGTGGGCGACGATAATTGTGAGATAATGGTGGTAGTTATAATAAATATAAGAATGAAATAATGATCATGGTGGATAGGAGCGCTGGCAATGGTGATAGCATTGACGATGGGCAACGATGGTGGTAGTGTCGATGACGGTGGCAATGGCAATGGTGGTGGTGGGGTGACAAAGGTGGCGATGGTAGTAGGGTGGTGACAGCGGTGGTGGTGGCAGCGGTGGGGGTGGTGGGACGGTGGTGGTGGCGGTGACAACAACGGCAACGTGGAGCGTTAGTGGCGTGATGGTGGTAGTGTAATTGTTGTTATGGCAAAGGTGGTGGTACGATGGCAACAACGACAACAGCGACGGTGGTGGTGATAGTAGTGATAGTGGTGATAATGGGGTGATAGTTGTGGCAAATGTGGTGATAATGATAGTGGTGGGGCGATAGTGGTGGTGGCAGTGGTGTTGATGGTGATAGTGGTGTTAACAGTGGTGGTGAGACAGGTTTAAACATTATTTTTTATTTTTTAAGTATTTATGAGAAGTACTTTTAAAAAGTCATCTCAAATACACTTTTAGAGAATCTATTTTTCCTATTAAATTTGAGGAGTTAATATTAACCGTCAGATTAATTTTAAAATAAAATTTGAAGAGATCTTAATATCGAAAATAAAAATCATTTTATTTATCTTTTGAAATTTAAATTGTAACGTATTTTATTATACAGATATAACAACTTTATTATATCAGAATATGTAGAATAAAGAACGATAGTCTTTTCCATTTTCCATTCTAGCGAATTAAGACCAACACAGTGCAGAACGAACCTTCTAAAGAATCAACAGCAACAACTGAAAGAGAAACGGATAAATGTGACGATGGATTTCACGTAATTTGTAAACAAATGTGAGTCACTGGTGTGTGCCAGTGACTAATTACTTGTGCCCTCCGCCAGGGCTTGGACCGGAGTCCATAATTTTTCCGAGTGTCCGATGGTCGGTAACTTTGTGTCCCGCACCTGGGCTGGGACCTTGTTTGATGGCACCGAGAGATAATCCATCAAAAAACCGTTCAATGTTTCCGGCAGCAGCCGAGCTGTGAGACTTCAAGATGTTGAAAGGACGAGCTTCGATCGCTAAGAAAAAATAAGAACCAAGTAACAGAGCAAGTAAACAAGAACTGAAAGATCGAAGACCTCTAGACATGTTGGAAGGCAACAGAGAGAGAGAGAGAGAGAATAGAGTGTTTGATACAAGAGGACTTCCCCGCTGGAAACCTGGAGTTGGTTTTGTGTATGCAGCATAGAAGAGCTGCCCGCCTATTTATATTGTCCTAAGAAATGCCATTGTACGTATCCGAGTTACAATACAAGTTACGAAATTGAGAAACCTCAAGTCCCGAGACGTAATCTTGACTAACGAAGAGAGAAATTTGCATCATTCAAACAAATGTGTTTGATAAATGTGCTTTGTGAATAGGAACCAACGAGGGAAGTTCTTGGTGCCAGAAAATAAGGATATGAACAAGAAAAATGAGAGATTGCGAGTCTAAATTGGATTACCAATGTTGATTTTTGGGTTCTTCCGGCGGCCTGTGTGTCATGAGAAAATGCTTTGATTACACGTTTGGGGACCAAGACCATGCAACGTTTGAATTCAACTCAAATGCATGAGGAACTGGGTTGTTGCTACTATTGGATACTATTTCTTGGTCCAGTCAACTGCCAACAAGTGTACAAAGAAAAAGGTGTCAATCGAAATTCTATTCTGTTGAGTTTTCTCAATTCTAGAACTATTTTTTGGAAAAATTTTACCCACTTGGTACTATATTGAGAAAATTGAGATAGATGGATATTACTTATAATCCAACTTGATGGTGTAAATAAATGAAAAGTGTGAACTAGAGCACTAAGTGAGTTCTGTGTGAACGTGTGTGTGGGCAGAACAATAGTAGCAAGAACACAAATAATAAGTAGTTCATGATGCTGAAGAGTTAGGCTAGTCCATGGAGTCGGTTGCTCTCTATGATTTGTATTACTTAAAGAAGAAAACTGTAGTCTCTAAAGAATACAATTTCACATTATTTGGACAAGGCAAGTATTTGTCTATTTATACACTGGAGTAGTGTGGTCATCAAGTAATGATGGGGTAGTCCTTTAGTTTGCTAGGATTTTGAGAGTGAGTATTTAACTGTTAGAAATTATATTTCTCAGGTGTAATGTGACATTTTAGAAATTAATAATGTGACATTTTAAAGATTGATTCACAGCCCCTTAGATAAGATCTATTGGGCTCATGGGGCAATATCCAATAATTGCTCAATCTTACCTAGTCTAATAAAAATAAATCAAATTTAACAAATAGATACACAAAATATGCTACACCCATCGCCCGTGTCCAAAACACTTCTTGGGATACAATAGTCCCATAAGCCAGCCACACGAGCTAAGTACGTCAAAGCACTAGTTTGAATTGCAGTAGTGGCTAAAGCAAAAGTTTCAAAGAAACGGTCGCACATTCTATTACTCACACAAATTATTACATCTAATTAAGCAGTATTTACTCTAGTCAATAATAACATAATGTAAAACCCAAACACTTTCATTTAGAGAAAATATAATTGGGTCATCTTATTGGTATGCACAAGAGTTATTACAACAACGAAATACCATAACATGCACATTAGTGTCTCACAAGGATTGATCAAACATTTTTTTCAATTTCTGAAATGATCACCTTGTCTACAATGCTTCTTGCTCTACACATGGCTACCAATGGTTTAGCTTTTGGCAAGGTGAGCCCAATCCCTTCAGACAAATCAACCTCCTCTTCCTCACTAATCCTCTCCCACTCAAAGCATTGAATCAACGAACCCAAGACGGAACCCACCACCCTCTGGGCTAGTCCAGCACCAGGACAGGACCTCCTTCCCATCCCAAATGGCATCAATTTGTGTGCCTCCACGTCCCCACTTTCAAACCTCTCGGGCTTGAAGATTGTTGGGCCATCCCACACCATAGGGTCCCTGTGAATGGCCCATGCATTGACTAGTACTATCGTGCCGAGTGGCACGTCATATCCCCGGATAGTGCAGTCGTCCGACGACTCGTGTGGTACCAATAATGGTCCTGACTGGAATAGTCGAAGGGTCTCCAAAATGATGTTACGAAGGTAATTCAATTCAGGTCTACGTGAGTTTCTAGCTCTACTCTGACCTTGTTCAATATATTAGGATGGTTGAGTAAAAGTGTCATCGCTCATTCTATTGTCACAAATAATGTATTTGTGCCCGCTAGAAACATGACCTAATTCTCCTTTTAATTAGTTTACTAAGTAAATCAACACCGGTAACCATTTAATCATACATGAGAAAAGATTGAAGAGAAATCAATATAATGTCGTTAAGGTAAGTAAGTATTCGATACCATATTCAAAATCCTCATATACTGATATTTATAGACATACAAGACACCCATTCAAGCGAAATGACACAACATTTTGGCAAGGTTGTGATGTTAACACAATCACAACTCTCCCAAGAGTTGTATTCATTTAAATTTAACTGCGTCATTCTACCCCTCTCTTCATGCATGGAAAGATAATTAGTAAACATTAACATCCATTTATGAGTTAAATATGTACAAGCGAGATCACACAATCCATAAGTCAACAAATTCGAATCGTGTCAAATCAGGTCATGCTATCTTGGACCCATATGAGACATAGCTATTTTTTATTTTTTATTTTTTTTGAGGGAAGGGTTAGGAAAAAGGAGGACTTGAACCCTTGATTTCAAGAAGACAAATTCTTCACAAAATAAAGAGTGTCATTAGATCAAAGACCTATTGGTATGGGACATAGCTATTAGGGGTGCAACTTGGGTTGAGCAACCCGATTTCAACCCGAAAAAATTAGGGTTTATGCAAGGATTTTTAATAATTTGGTTGGGCTTGGGTCAAAAAACTCCAACTCGAATTCAATTTGGATTGGGCTCGGGTTAAGACCTCATGAACCCGAGTTCAACCCAAACCCGACAAATTAAAAAAAATAAATTATATATATTATATAAAGCATTAGCACTGATTTTTCATTTTTGTTTTATCGTTCTTTGTCTCTCTCGTTCTCTTTGTCTCTCTCGTTCTTTCAACCTCTCTCGTTAAAAACTTGTTTGAAGTTATTAGTTATTAATTTAGGTGAATATTATGTAATATATATATTATGTTTAGAACAACAAGCCTATTTTGGATTCTACCCAAATTAAACACATAAAGTAACTTAAAATCAGCCTGAAATCATCAACCCGAGTCTGTCCGAATTAAACTCAGGCAGTGCTCGGGTTAAGTTCCCCAACCCGATGTAGAGTTGAGTTAAAGTTATGGTTAAAGATTATATACGTAGGGTTGAACTAGAGTTGATTGTCCAACCCGCCCAACCTACCTGAGTTGCACCCCTAATAGCTATTACTTAATTCTCTCCTATCTAAATTCAAAACCCCCTCATTTCAATACCTAGCAAAACTAATCAAAAATATTATTTAACAATAATACTATTTAGAGTTAACAATCTGACCTAATTTGTTGACATAATTATGTAGTTTCAGTAGAATCATTAGATGAACACCAAATTTCAATGTTTGAAAGGCCCCACAGTCAATTTAAAGGTCATAGTAAATTAAGTTAGCAAATTAAGTCTCAATAGCATTGCTCATTATTTAATTTCAAAATAATTCGTACAATATTAGACCCCACAAACAAAGACATATAAAAACAATATATTTTGTATATTTCAAATGAGCAATGTTACATGGATTTAAAAAGTAGACTTGTTAATTATAACCATTGATTTTACTGTTGGTTTCAGTATTTATTAGAATTCATTACCTATTCAATAATTAAAATTATCAACTCTAATTTTTAAATACATTGCCATTCGTCATTTCGAATTTAACGAGCTATTCTAATCAATATGCAAGCCAGAGGAGAGAGAGAAAGAGGAAGAAAGAGGGAGAAAGAGAGAGTTACATACCATTACAAGCCCTTTGATAATTTTATCCTTGCAGAGAAAGCAAATGACTGATCATCGTTTTTCTAGAATTATCTCTTCTGTGCTCTTCAATTAGACCTTGAAAAAACTCATCCATCTTCTTACCAAGCCTTGCCAAATTCTTCTCTAATCCTTGGTAATCAATCCAGCGGAAAATGGGCAAGAAATCTCCGGGATTCGACGCCCCACCACGTAGAAACACCTCCTTTGTGAGCTCTCGAAAATGTATTGCCTCTTCATTGCACTCGTCTTCACCGAAGTACCGCTTTCCTGCAGCCATCCTCATAATCACATTGAAGGATAGCTCGGAAATTCTCGATCTCAAATTGACCACCGCAAACCCGTCCTGCGAATTTCGATAAAGGCTACGAAGCAAACGCTTGATTTCGTCTTGACGAATCGATACAAACATGTTGAGGCGAGTGGTGGAGAAAATTTCTTGTGCGCTAAGGCGGCGAAGGTTGCACCAGTGATCGCCGTATGGGGGCTGTAACCATGTTGGTATAGTCGTAACCTATGTACTTGCCTGAGAGGAGCAAAGGTCGGTTGGCCAGAACGACGTCGTTCTTGGTGAAACATTCCTCTGCTACAGACGATGATGACACAACGACAACCAGGCGAGTCCCAAATCTGAGGGAAAAGATAGAGCCATGTTGCTCTGCAAGCTTTCCTAGGGTTCGATGAAGAGGTTTTTCACAAGATAGAGGTGACCTATAACCGGAAGGGCCGGTACCGGGCTCGGCGGGAGGTTCCACCGGCGATTTGTGAATAAAAACTTGAAAGCCAAAACGAAGAGGACAACAGAGAGAGTTGTGTATAACCAGGTTCCTTCCATTCTTGCTTGAATCATACTGAATGGTGGGTAGCAGTTAGGTTAACCGCATCTGATAACTGCAATAATTATTGGAGTTGCCATAATGTTATATCCAAAATTTTATTCAGACCTAAAACATTTATCAAAATTTTTAATAGGGTTAAAAACACTTTTAGTCTTTAAATATGTATTTTTTTTGTCAATTTAGTCGTCATTGTATCAATTTGATCTCTAAAATATTTAATTCGTGTCACTTTGATCTTTAATCAGACAATCCATCAAATTTTTTGACGGAAATTATCCTTGTGCCGTCAAAAACTTAACGATCCGTCTATGTAGGAATCAAAATGACTCAAATTGAATAATTTAGGAACCAAATTGATAAAATTAATACAATAACGATTAAATTGATAAAAAATACATACTTTAAAGATAAAAAATGTTATTAATTCTTTAGAATATGGATAGGAAGGAAGACATGGACGCGTTCAAATAAGAATAATGTTATATTTGATTTTCGGATTTGGTGATGATATAAAGGTGATTTTAGATTTAAGGTTTACTTATCATATTAGGGCATATTTTTTTTTTTTTAGATTTAAGGTTTAGTAAGCCAACTATCTTAGTTAATTAAACTGCTGTTCATGCATGAGATAAGACAAAATGTGTTGACTTTTTATTTATTTATTTCTGTTTTTAATCTCTTATGTGACACTATATTTGGATTAAAAAAACTAATATGTTTGGACAAAAGATAATATGTTAGATAAAAAAAAACTATAAGACACTCATTCATGTCTAACCTTAACCCGATTTATTTATTTGTGTCAATGAAATGTAGCATTTTTGAGTATCAACATCTTTAATACCAAGTTAAATACCAAGTTAAGGCGAGTGTCAAAAGTGATCACTCTATTGATTACTTATACAAGTAATTATTTAGAATAATGTTATTGAAATTTAAAATTTTAATTTAATCTATTAATTTAAATGATATGATTTTATTGTAATCTTTAAATTAATACCAAAACACGGTCAATCCAATGATGTTTATAGTAGTGGGATATTACAGTTGATACTTTCCCAAAACCAGTTTATTATTGTCAGACAAATATGAATAAATCTATAAGAAACCTTCATGAGCATTAGCCTAGGGTTTCTAGGTAATGCCACGTTCTTTGTGTATTGACACTTTTATTCAGCTTAAAATACAGATATTTCAACACCTTTTAAGGCCAATAACCTAATTTCGGCCCTAAATGGTCGCGCAGTCTGCTTCTAGCACAAATTCAGCTGGAGCAGTACTAGACAATATGTTATTGGTTGACGAATTCGGATGACGTACGTCACGATATTATTTGGGAAAGGCGGGTCTTGGAGCACCCATCGGTAAGTTGTTCTTTACTTCGATTCATGAAAATTATGCTATTTTATCAACTACAATAGTGTCATAGGGTAACTTTCGTTTTTCTTTTGAGGTTACCTGTGAAGGCGTTGCTATTACAATCAGTCACACTCAACTCAAGAATAAGGGACAGAAACTCACACAGAAGGCCCACACGAATTTACTAGGACAATACTCCCAAATCTTATATATTGAATTCAATAATTTATAAGAACTCTCAAAAGTCAGAACACTCTCTACCTTCCAAAATGCTCAAGCACCCCTATTTATACAAAAGGAAGGCAGATGACACCCCCATCTGCCAAGGGGTAGTTACCCACGTTTTTGCTATTCCATAGCATACTGGGCTAGTAGACTTGGTCTCTGTGCAATACCTGACAGGCAGTTCTACCACTTCGAGTAACTGCTGTGGAACTGCCCTTCATCAGCATGCATCTAGACTGGATTCAGACTGGTGACATCCAGAATTACCTTAGCAACTGCCTTGATTGAGTCTTAGCATCATAATTGCTCACATCCTCCTGGTCACATGCATTGAGCAGCCATGTGCCAGTCAGGTGCCCATATTCAGCAGCCATGTGCCCACATTCACCAGTCAACCTTGCTACACGAACCAATGTGCATGCTAGGTTCAATCCATGCCATGCAATCCGAAGCTCTGCACCCACATTGCTTCAATTGAGCCCACCCATACTGCCATGCTCAACCGGGTGGTCTCATGCTGCCTTGGTTCGCCCCAATCTGTCGAACCACTTAGTCGTGTCACCTTGATTCCAATTTCTGGCATGCCTTGGTGCAAGGTGCCACCAAGACCGGCCATTTGCACCCAAGTCAGTTAGGGTGTGACAAGCCACCCCCACCTAAAGTATCCAACGACCTCGTTGGAATGGAGGCATGGTATTGCTTGACGAGATCCTCAAACTGCCACAATGTCGTCTCTTTCTCCTAAGTGGCTTCCTCCGGTGCTTTCCCTTTCCACTTGACTAGGTAATGAGTTCTTCTATTTTTCTTACTCATTCCCTCAGTCTTGTGGTCAAGGATAGCTTCAACTATTTCTGTGAATTGCTTCCTAATTGTTGGAGGAGCCCGACGCCGAACGTATCTGTTAGGGTCCTCCGGGTCCTTAACATACGGTTTCAAGAAAGCAACATAAAAAACTGGATGAAGCTTGAGACGACTGAGAATATCCAACCTATAGGTCAACCTGCCTATCCTCATTGTTATTAGGAAAGGGCCGTCATAACGCTGAATTAATCTTTTGTGTGCATACTTCCGAGAGATCTTGTTCCAAATTGGTGGGGTCAATTTCAGCATCACTTTGTCACTCACTTGGAACTCTACTGCTCTACTCTTCTCGTCTGCCCACTTTTTCATCCTCTTCACCGCCTTAGTTAAACAGTCTTTTGCTTCGTCGGTTCGCTCCTGATTGGCCTGAGCGAAGTGATATGCTACAGGACATCTCCCTTGAGACTTTTGCTTAACAATTTCATGCGGGGTAAGAGGTTATTGGCCAGTTGCCAACTCAAAGGGGCTCATTCCAGTGAATGAACTCTGTTGGAGGTTATAACTGAACTGGGCTACATCAAGTAAATCCACCCAATTGTCCTGGTTCGCTGTGACATAATGTCTGAGATATTCCTCCAGCATTGCATTAACCCGCTCGGTCTGCCCATCTGTCTGCGGATGATTACTGGTGGAAAGGTTGAGCTGTGTGCCCAACAGTTCAAATAAAACTGTCCAGAATCGACCAGTAAACCGAGTGTTCCTGTCGCTCACTATGTCCAGCGGAAGACCCCAAAGCTTCACAATATGCTTGAGGAATAACAGAGCAGTAACTTCCGCCGTACATACTTTTGGGGCAGCAATAAAAGTGGCATACTTCGAAAATCTGTCTACCACCATAAATATCGAAGTAAAATCGTTTACCTGAGGCAAGCCATTAATGAAGTCCATGAAAACACTCTCCCAAGGTCGGCTTGGAATAGGGAGAGGTTTCAATGTACCCGTCACCTTCTTCCTTTCAATTTTGTCCTGCTGGCACACCAAACAAGTGCGCACATACAGCTCCACATCTGCTTCCATGCGGGGCCAATAATAACTTTCTGTTAGCAAGGCAAGAGTCCGTTGCTGCCCTGGATGTTCTGCCCATAGAGCATTATGAGCTTCTTTCAGCAACATCCGTCGAAGTCCGCCTGACTTCGGAACATAAGGTCTCCTACCTTTGGCGTAGAGAACACCATCCTCTACCCAAAATCGCCGAGTCACCCCTTTGTGAACCTGCTTCAACAATAAGCTGGTCACTAAATCATCTTTAGTCTGATCCTGAATTCTCTGCAGTATGTCTCCTGCAATCTGGCTAAGTGCAGCAACTATCTCATCAGCAACTGGGATTCGACTAAGAGCATCAGCAACCTGATTTGCACTGTCAGGCTTGTACTGCAACGTGAAATGAAACTGGGCAAGAAAGTACTGCCATCTTGCTTGTTTTGGTGTCAGCTTCTTCATGGAATTGAAGCAGCTGGTAGCCACATTATCTGTCAGTACAAGGAAATGCTTCCCCAAAAGTAGTTCCTCCATGCATTAATGCAGTGAATGACTGCTGTCATCTCCTTCTCATGTACTGAATACCGCCTCTCGGTATCATTCAGCTTCTTACTTTCAAATGCCACTGGATGCCCATTCTGCACCAGCACCCCTCCAAGAGCAAAGTCTGATGCGTCTGTATGGACTCAAAGGGCAAATCAAAATCAGGTAAGCGTAAAATTGGGCTAGACGTCACCACCGCCTTCAAACGATCGAATGCCTCCTGGCATTCGTAGGACCAGTTCCATGTCCTATCCTTCCTTAGAAGATCAGTCAGCACCGTGACCTTCTTCGAATAATTCTTCACGAATTTTCGATAATAGTTTGTCAAACCAAGGAAAGAACGCAGTTCAGTAACCTTAGTAGGGACAGGCCAATTTGCAATGGCCTCAACTTTTTTCGGGTCCATCTTCACCACGCCCGCAGAAATAATATGCCCCAAGAATGAAATTTTCTTCCGGGCAAACTCACATTTTTCTGGTTTCAGATACAACTGGGTTTTCCTTAACTTTGTTAAGGCCAGCCTAAGATGCTCAACATGCTCCTCAAGAGTCTGGCTATAAACAACTATGTCATCCAAATAAATCACCATGAAGCGGTCCAAGTATTCCCGAAATACATTGGTCATCAAGTTACAGAATGTAGCAGGGGCATTGGTTAAGCCGAAAGGCATAACTAAAAACTCATATGACTCGTACCTTGTCACACAAGCAGTCTTCGCCTCATCTCCCTCTGCAATTCTGACTTGATGATATCCCAGCCGCAAATCCATCTTGGTAAAGAAAACCGCATTTCCCAATCTATCAAATAGTTCGTCGACAAGCGGCACTGGATAGTTGTTCTTGACAATGACTTTGTTGAGCGCTCTGTAGTTTACACAAAGCCGTAAGGATCCATCCTTTTTTTTTGAAACAGAACAGGAGCTCCATAGGGTGCCTTGGAAGGTTGAATGAACCCAATGTCCAATAACCCCCCAAGTTGTCTCCTTAGCTCCGCCAATTCTGATGGAGACATTCGATAAGGAGCCTGTGCAGGGATTTTTGCCCCTGGAATTAACTCAATGGCATGGTCAATCTCTCGTCTTTGCGGTAACCTTGTTGGAAATTTTTAGGTGCCACATCCTTGAACTCAACCAGCAACTGCTGCATTGATTCAGGGACTTGAAATGCTTTGGACTCCTCTTCCTCAAATAAAACTACCAAGTATGTTGCCTCCCCCTTTCGCAAGCCATCTTTTACTTGTAAGGCAGACAACATTTCCCCGAAAACTTGGCCTTTGTGAGGGGAACAAAACAAGGATTGGGCATGTCCATCACGAACATCCCATTTAAGTGCGGCATAACAGACACCATTGCCTTTGTAAGGAATTGCAGTCCAAGGATTACCTGGAAATCATCGAGAGGGACTGCCATAAAATCACATGTTCCTTGCCAATCACCCACTTTTAGAGGTACTTCTCTTGCGACGCCGCCTACTGGTTTTGTTTCTGAATTAACAGCCTTAATCTGACTAGAGTCTTTCACCAAAGCCAGACCAAGCCACTGTACTTCCTGATCAGAAACAAAATTATGAGTTGCACCTGTATCAACCATTGCCTGGATAGCCACATTGTTCAGGCGAATCTGCACAAACATCAACCCTCTCTTTGCCATTGTCTCCTCTTTGCGAATTGCATTAAGAAGTTGTAATGGGTTGACTCGTGTTGGTTCGTCAGAACAGTTAGTTTCCTCAGCCATGAGGGCACTGAGCTTTTCCTTCTTGGGGCAATTTCTGGCACGATGAGGGCCATTACAGATAAAACATCCTGAGTCAACACCTCCCTTTGATGAAGAGGCTTTGTCAGTCTATTTTTCTGAATTGCCAAACTTCTCAGCCTTTTTCTTCTGCTTATCCTTCTTAGCAAACTTGGTTTTCCCTTTTTAGACTCCTTCTCTGGAGGATTAGCCTGCGTTTTGTAATCAACCAGCGCGTCTGCTGTGGACATAGCAGCGGGTAAGTCCTTCACCCCTTGCCGACGAAGTTCTGCCTGTGCCCAAGTTTGGAGGCCAGACATAAAGTTGAACAACTTGTCTTCCTCTGACATATTTTTAATGTCAAGCATTAGAGACGAGAATTGCTTCACGTACTCCCTCACGGTGCTTGTATGTCGAAGTTTCCTCAATGCATCACGGGCTTGCCAAGCTGTGTTTCTAGGAAGAAATTGCTCCTTTATTTCAGCGGACAGAGACTCCCAAGTAGTAATTGGAGAACGAGATTTGTCCTCATAACGTGTTCGCCACCATAATTTAGCATCACCGGACAGGTACATGCTAGTGAGATCTACCTTCTCAGCATCCGGAGTGCGGACTACTTTGAAGTAATGCCCCATATCCCACAGAAAGTTCTCGAGTTTTTTAGCATTTCGACTGCCTGTGAAAGGCTTAGGGTCAGACACTTTAGCTTTCTGAGTGCTTTCATTGCCAGAAGCCACAGAGGCATTCTGCAATGCCCTCTTAAGCACTGAAACGTCGGTCTCGAGGGAAACTCAATTTTTCCCCCATATCATCGGTCCATGTAGAGATCGTAGCCAACACGTCAACGACTTCGTTTTTCACTCGACTGAAGTGATCAGATTCAGTCTTTTGAAGCTGTTCATGTGCAACACGCATCTCTTCGAACCGCTGATATAGCAACTCAAGCTGCACAAAGAGAGCTACAGCATCACCAGACTGTGGAGGACCAACCAGCTCCTCCAAACGTGCCACCTTTTCCCTCAGATCAGCATTCGTTCTGCCAGCCATAATTGATCTGTTGCCAAAACCTTGCTCTGATACCAAGCTGTCACAGGGTAAGTTTCGTTTTTCTTTTGAGGCTACCTGTGAAGGCGTTGCTATTACAACCAGCCACACTCAACTCAAGAATAAGGGACAGAAATTCACACAGAAGGCCCACACGAATTTACTGGGACAACACTCCCAAACCTTATATATTGAACTCAACAATTTACAAGAACTCTCAAAAGCCATAACACTCTCTATCTTCCAGAATGCTCAAGCACCCCTATTTATACAAAAGGAAGGCAGATGACACCCCCATCTGCCAAGGGGTAGTTACCCACGTTTTTGCTATTTCATAGCATACTGGGCTAGTAGACTTGGTCTCTGTGCAACACCTGACAGGCAGTTCCACTACTTGGAGTAACTGCTGTGGAACTGCCCTTCATCAGCATGCATCTAGACTGGGGACATCCAGAATTGCCTCAGCAACTGCCTTGATTGAGTCTCAGCATCATAACTGCCCACATCCTCCTGGTCACATGCATTGAGCAGTCATGTGCCAGTCAGGTGCCCACATTCACCAGTCAACCTTGCTACACGAACCAATGTGCATGCCGGGTTCAACTCATGCCATGCAATCCGAAGCTCTGCACCCACATTGGCATCACCTTGATTCCAATTTCTGGCATGCCTTGGTGTAAAGTGCCACCAAAACCAGTCATTTGCACCCAAGTCAATTAGGGTGTGACAAATAGTTATTACAAGGACTAAAATACCAAAATGATCAAACATTCTTTTCAATTTCTGAAATGACCTTGTCTACGATGCTTCTTGCTCTGCACATGGCTATCAATGGTTTAGCTTTTGGCATGGTGAGCCCATTCCCTTCAGACAAATCAACCTCCTTCTCCTCACTAATCTTCTTCTCCCACTCAAAGCATTGAATCAATGAACCCAAGGTCGTACCCAACACCTTCTAGGCTAGTCCAGCACCAGGACAGGACCTCTTTCCCATCCCAAATGGCATCAGTTTGTGTCCCTCAACTTCCCCACCATCAAACCTCTCGGGCTTAAGCTTGTCGGGTCAGCCCATACCTTCGGGTCCCTGTGAATGGCCCATGCATTGACTAATAAAATCATGCCACGTGGTATGGAAGCAACAATGGTACAATTGGCGGACGACTCGTGTGGAAGCAACAATGGTACTGCAGGGAATAGTCGAAGGATCTCCGAGATGATGTTGTGAAGGTAATTTAATTTGGATAAATCTGATTCGTGGATCAATTGATCAAAGCCCACATGAATATCCAACTCTGTTCTACCTTTTTTCAATACTTCTTGATGGTTGAGTAAAAATGACATTGCCCATTCCATTGTCACAGATGATGTGTCTGTGCCCGCGAATAGCATGACCTACACATTATAACTTTATTACTCAAGTGAAGAGATCAATATAAAGTGGAAATAGATTGTCATCCAAGGGTTTATTCTTGGCTAGCCACTTAATTAGGGAAAAGTCTACTGTACCAGAAAAAAAAATTAGTACCATATTAAAAATTATTATTTTTTGAGATCAAGTTACATGTTTTGATCGATCGATCATGAACACTCCTCAATCAATTTTAACTTCACATTTATATAAGGTGTAATTTTACCCTTAAAAGTTATAACTGTACCTTTAAAACTGTAATTTCCATGATCAATCTAACATTATATGATCGAAAAGAAGAGACGGTCTTAGCTGTTTACATAAAGCAGCGGCTAGGTCTCTGTTCCCATATTCATAAATTAGGTTAATGTTTTTAGTCGCATAGCATTACTATTACTTATATCTGATTGACCCATGCTATGCTATGTACACCAAATCAATAACCGCCTTTAGATTAGTGGAACCCGCCATTATTCAACCACTAACATTCAATTGGTGCACATTTGTGTGTGTGTGTGTGTGTGTGTGAGAGAGAGAGAGAGAGACCATAATAAGCCCTTTGATAATCTGATCCGCGTAGTATTCTGGCTCCGATTGTTGCAGAGAAAGCAAATGACTGATCATGGCATTTCTAGAATGATCTCGCCTGTGTTCCTCAATTAGGCCTTGTAGAAATTCATCCATGTTCTTTCCAAGCCTCACAAATTTCTTCTCAAAACCCTGGTAATCAATCCACCGCAAAAAAGTTAAGAAATCTCCTGGATTCGATGGCCCACCAACAACATTGCCTCCTCCATGATCTCACGAAAACGCTTTGCCTCTTCATCGCCTTCGTCTTCCCCAAAGTATCGCTTTCCTGCAACCATCCTCATAATGACATTGAAAGCTAGCTCAGTAAATTTTGATCTCAAATCAACCTTCGCATACCCTCTCTGATTTTAAACAAAGGCTACGCAGCAAACGCTTAACTCCGTCTTGTCGAATGGATAAAAACATGTTGAGACGACTAGGGGAGAAAATTTCTTGTGCACTGAGGCGGCGGAGGTTGCGCCAGTGATCGCCGTAGGGGGCGCCAACCACCGCGGTGTAGTTATAGCCCATGCCTATTTGGAAACGAGGGCGGTCAGCGAGGACGACGTCGTTCTTGGTGAAGCATTCCTCCGCCGCAGATGATGATGACACAATAGTAACAAGACGGGTCCCAAATCTGAGGGAGAATATTGGGCCATGTTTCTCTGTAAGCTTTTGTAGAGTTCTATGAAGTGGTTGTTTCAGGAGGTAGAAGTGGCCTAGAACTGGAAGGGCTAACACTGGGCGAGGTGGGAGGTTCCCGCGTTTTGTGTACAACAAGTTGGCTTCTATGCTCGCTTGAATCGCAAGGTTTAACTTTCAGTTCAAAATATATATACATAATAACATTGAGATTCGAACACTCCTTATGGTAATATTAAAAAAAAAAACATTGAAAGCATTGGACGGATTGTACTAGAGTTGGCGTCGGGGACAAGAAATGTTAGTCAGATGTTAGTGAAAGAGTTTAATGATGGACAGAATGGTGCCATTGTAGATATATATTGGTTATATGGTTTGAATTTGAAAAGCTTTGTGAGTAATTTTTCTACATTTCCCTTGTTGATTTGGGAGATTTTGGTCTATTATGGTTGGATAGAGAATCTTGCCGCTCAATCTCAATCGATCGACGTGTATATTTGGCATTGTTGTACACTGGTATATGTCTTCTACTAATAATAGGCTCACAGGAAGCTTGTTTGCCGTTCTCCTTGTGTATGTGTGTGTGTGTGTTTGCCATTTTTTTCCATTGGGAACGTAAACCTCAATTTCCTATTTTAATAAAATTCAGTTTATATACCAAAAAAGAGGAAAAAATAATGCTACTATCACGAAACATTATCCTATTAATATTTTTCAATAATATTGATTGAATGAATTTTCTCAATATTTAGTATAGTAACAAAAAAAATGTTTTCGTTACTCTAGTTTTTAATTTTCATAAACCATATGCATCGTGAGGGAGTTATTTGGTTGATTAAATTTGGCTTTACGTTAGGAAATTTAAACTGAATGGTTTGGTAAAGGTCATTTTTCTAAGTTCATATGCAAAAGGCTCTGTTGCTCTGTTGACTAAACTCCTAAAGTTTCAAAATCCCATTGTCAATACCTAGGGATGTTCTAGGCCTAGACTAAACCAAACCGTGAGACAATGAACCCCAAGTAAGCAAGTTATGATGACTGCTTGAACTGCTGTTGTGCAACTAGCAGATATTGCGACCAAATGAAGGTGAAAATTATGATGGTTTACTTATAAATTCATTCTTTAGATGTGAAAGTATATCAGATTGCAATTTTCGGGCCTCAAACGAAGAGTAATGTGTATATTTTTTTCTTTCTTAGATTTTAGCCAATAATTTTGTGGGCAAAGATGAGTGATGGGTAAAACTCCCTATCTTCAATTGTGCAGCCTAAAGTATGTCAAATTATAAAACGACCCACACAATACGACAATTCACCCATTTTGTAAACGAATGAACCCATTACGACCTAACACGATTAATAGGTGAATCGAATATATGGATTAAGTAAATCAAAAAAAATATATAATATGACTCATTTATACATTAGTTATATACGATTCATACATGACAGACACAAGCTAATAAACGAATCGAATATGGATAAAATATTTTTTCACATAACTTGCTTCACCTAACACGATTGACAAATCTAAACTAGAGTGAACCAACATTAAACACCATCAAAAAGTGTAGTTGATCGATGAAGAGTCTCGTCTATGTTGTGCGGTAAGGAGAATGTTGAGGCAGTAGCACATGCCACATTTTTTCCGTCTATGACTTAGAAGATGATTTACACTTGGAATAAACACTATAAAAAATTAACACATAAAAGATCGTAAATAAACGCAAAAGATACGAGATTCTGAAAAATTTCTCATGCTACCTCCAACCACGTGGACCCCCAAATAAAAACAAAAATTAGTGTCCCAAACTAACACTATTATGCACTACCAATAAAATATACAATAGATGTGACAACAATTATATAGTAAATACTACAATGCTACAGTGCTATCATTAGTAACACTTAAAAAAGGCATGAACAATAACAATAACAATACTCACTCACAGGAAATGCTTAAACATTGTTATTCAACTTCTGAAAGAACCTTGTCCATGATGCTGCGGGCTCTACACATGGCCACCAATGGCTTTGCTTTGGGCATGGTGAGCCCATTCCCTTCGGCCAAATCAACCTCCTCCTCACTAATCCTCTCCCACTCAAAGCATTGAATCAATGACCCCAAGGCTGAACCCACCACCCTTTGGGCTAGTCCGGCACCAGGACAGGACCTCCTCCCCATCCCAAACGGCATCAATTTGTGTTGCCCAACTGCCCCACCTTCAAACCTCTCGGGTTTGAAGCTACTCGGGTCATCCCACACATTCGGGTCCCTGTGAATGACCCATGCGTTAACTAGTAAAATCGTGCCGCATGGCACGTCATATCCGCCAATAGTACAATCGGCAGATGACTCGTGTGGTAGCAATAATGGTGCTGGTGGAAATAACCGAAGAGTCTCCAAAATGATGCTATGAAGGTAATGCAAGTTAGACAAATCTGTTTCATCCATGAGGCGAGTACAGCCCACATTACTGTCCAATTCTTCTCTAGCCTTTTTCAATGCTTCCGGGTGGTTGAGTAAAACAGACATTGCCCACTCTATTGTCACAGCCGAAGTGTCAGTTCCCGCAATTAGCATGACCTGTAAAATATGAGTTCCTTAAGAAAGATTAGTACAAAATGGGAGAAGATAGTGGTCCATTGATTTAATCTTATATGAGAAAAGTTGGTAGAGGATGTACTTCATAAATTGTCTGGACGTCCTTTTTTAAGAGTCTAAATTGAGTCATATCATTTTCTAGTCCGTAAATCTTTCCAAAAAATTTGGAGAATCAAACTTATTTGTCAATTAAATTGATATTGGGATTCATATGTAAATATGGTATCTATTTAGATACATTCAAATGATCCTTTCTCATAATGAGAATGTATATATCCCTATTCTGATTTGATCCGGTATAAAATGAACTTATAATTATGAATTGATCATTAGATTGTAGATTATAAATTCAAAACCCTAGTCCATTTCCATTTTGGGCGGAACAGATTTATTAATTCTTTGATTCCAAATAGACCCTACAAGCTAAAAAAGTATCAAGAGCAATGACAACAAACGAGTTTCATTTTTTATCATGTTTTATGATATGAATATACAAAAATTTCTCACCATTCATGGACCATTTCATGCACAGTGTGTGTGTGAGAGAGAGGGAGAGAGAAAAGAGGGGGAGGGGGGAGAGGGAGGACACGAACCAGTACAAGGCCTTTGATGATTTGGTTTGTATAGTATTCTGGCTGTGATTCTTGCAGAGAAAGCAGATGACTGATCATGGTATTTCTAGAAATATCTTTTTTGTGCTCATCAATTAGGCCTTGTAGAAATTCATCCATGTCCTTACTAAGCCTGACCAATTTCTTCTCAAAACCCTGGTAATCAATCCACCGCAAAATTGGTAAGAAATCGCCAGGATTCGAGGCACCACCAAGGAGTAGTGTCTCCTCCACGAGCTTCCGAAAATGCTTTGCCTCTTCATTGCCCTCGTCTTCCCCAAAGTACCTCTTCCCTGCAATCATCCTCATAATGACATTGAAGGACAGCTCAGTTAATTTCGATCTCAATTCAACCTTCGCAAACCCTCTCTGAGAATTTAGATACAGGCTACGCAGCAAACGTTTGATTTCGTCTTGTCGAATCGATAAAAACATGTTGAGGCGACTGGCGGAGAAAATTTCTTGCGCGCTGAGGCGGCGGAGATTGCGCCAGTGGTCGCCGTAGGGAGATCCAACGATGGTGGTGAAGTTATAGCCTATGTATTTTCCAACAAGGAAAAGAGGGCGGTTAGCGAGAACGATGTCGTTCTTGGTGAAACATTCCTCCGCCGCAGATGGTGACGATACGACAGTGACAAGTCGGGTCCCAAATCTGAGGGAGAAGATTGGGCCATGTTTCTGTGAGAGCTTTTGGAGGGTTTGATGAAGGGGTTGTTTCAGGAGGTAGAGGTGGCCTATGACCGGAAGAGACAGTACTGGAGTCGGCAGGAGGTTCCGGCGTTGTGTGAACAAGAACTTGAAAGCTAAGAAGAGGAGGATGAGAGAGAAGGATATGTAGGACCAGATGACTTCCATTCTTAACTTGAATCGTGTTGGATTCTAAGAATGTGGACTGTGGAAGAAGATAAAGGGTAACATGAAACTCTAGTTAAGAATCGTGTTGGATTCTAAGAATGTGGACTGTGGAAGAAGATAAAGAGTTACATGAAACTCTTGCTAGATCTGTTTACGCTAGTAATATATTCACCATTTTTTTTTATTAAATCTCTTTAATAACGTAATTAAGTGAAATTAATACCCACTAATCTGATAATTTTTTTAACATATGTACGTATATGGATATTGTTCGGAATAAAAAATATATTAAATTATGAATTAATCAATTATTAAAATAATTGAGGACATATGATAACAAAGAAATTAGAAATAGATGAGATTTTGACATTGACTTTATTGATTGTAATTTTTATTATAAAAAAGTTATTTTTAACTATAAAAATTTGATTATATAACCAAATGAGTGGTAATATGATGACTAATATTAAAACAAAGTTGTCATGCAACGCTTTAAAATGAAAAATTCATTGAAATAATATAATGATAGAAATTATATTTATTGACTGGTTAACACATATATAATAGAAAAAAATTGAGAGTATTTTAGTCTATTTACATAATAAAGAGTAATTTTAATATTTTCATAAAATATTTAGTTAAATCATTACTTTATCCACTGACCGAGACAAAAATTATTGTTAAAATTGTGTCATTGATTTGAAAGCATAACCTAAAAGAAGGTATAGTAAAGTTTCAAAATCAAAAGGAAGTATATTGAATATAAGCCTAGCTAAAGAGGTATGTGAATAAAAATTTTTCTAGAAATTATACAAGTTTTGAAAGAATAAAGTCTGGGGAAAACAATTAGTCTAATAATAGTAATATTATTCAATTTAATTTGTTAATTTAATTAATCACTATTATTGAACTGACAACGAGCTGATCATCAAATTAGGTCCAACTCATTGTCAATCTAACCATCGTAATTAATTACATTAATTAATTAAAATTGATAAATCAGAAATACTGTGTTGGATAAATATAAGAATTGGATGATTAACCGTATTTTTAAAAAAATTATCGATATTTTTAAGAAAATAATAGATAAATATAGATTTTAAATGATGTAATCTAAAAAATATAAAAAAAATTATTATTTAAATAAGATAAATTTTTTGAAATATTTAAATTTTATATTTTATCGCACCTTCTAACATGATATAACTAAGTATACAATATTTGGTAAATACGTTTGTGATGCACTTTTTTATTCTTTGGTAGGACCGTGGCAGCGTGCATCGAAGACCACTCATTTTCCCTTGTTTTCTTTTATCTTTTGGTAAGTACGTTTTTCCACAACACTGTTGACCAAAGGCTTGGTGGGCCAGAAGTTTTGGTGGGTTTATGGAAAATCTGGATAGCTACCAACCAACATCGCCGGTGGCGCTCTCTCTCTCTCTCCGAAAAGTGACGGTAGCCTGTAGTTATTTTATATTAATCAAATATAATCTCTTGTTTGCGCTGTTTAAAATTTTCAGTTAAAAAAATTAAATAACGACTCGGAACGTTTCGATCATACAATTTATATACTTTAATTTTTTAATCACAATAACTTATTTTAATTTAAATTTTAACTTTTTAACAACACAGTAACCCAACTCATTCATTAAAAAAAACACACACAATAATAGATCAGATCGTTTTGATTCGGCGGTTTATATCTTTTAATCACGATAATTCATTTAAATTTTAACTTTTAACCTTTTAAGTACGATGAATTATTTAAATTTTAATTTTTTAACTACAAAAATTCACTTAAATTTTAATTTTTTAACTACAATAACTCACTTAAATTTAAAAAAAAATTGTGTTTTACACGAGGCACAACTACTCTATTGAATTAGAGGGATAAAAAAGAAGACTCGACTTGGTCCATAACATACAAGAAACCTTAAAAGTCTTTGTTACACTACCAAACACAGGAAAAAAAGTAAATGTATGTCACAATGACTTGGCGAATGCACCGATATGAATGAGAATTGAAAATTTTATATTGAAATTGTCCAACTTTACCAAAAAATAAAAAAAGTGTCATATAGGTAGCCATTAAATCAATGAATCTCATCACTGACTAAGTACGCATTTTGATGCACATAATTTTACACGAGACACAACTACTCTATTGAAATTAGAGGCCGGCCCTGGTTGGAGAAAAGATGTTTAAAATGTTCCACAATTTTTTTTGGTAACGATATGGTTACCAAATTTTCATTTTAAATGAAATGGTATAATTTTTTATCATTAAATAAGTGGGTTCTATTAATATATAATAATAGAGATTGTGTCATATCATTTGATACGAAAGATTTAGTAAATTTTTTTGATAAGTCTAATATTTTTTTTTTCTTTTGGCCAGAAAATGTTCAAGAGTTGAATATTTTTCTTTTTCTCTCATGAATTTTTGTGTCCACCACGTAAATTGATGTCGTTAGATAAGTAGCGAGTGTTGTGTGGGTTGGTCGGTCTGAAATTCCGGTGGTTTCAGATTTTCTCGCTCAATATTGAGTTTGAGTCAATATAGTTATAATAGTTCGTTGAGACTAAACTTATTTTTCAGCGCTCAAAACACGTGGTGAAATTTTAACTTTAGTCACGACGTAGGTACGATAGAATTCTCAATAAATAGCTGTGTGATGTTGAGAAATAATGCTCCCTGACGGATATGTGAACTGATCTATCAACATATCCATATAATCTACCCCAAAAAATTCCAATGGCCTCGCCGTCGAAGCTTCCCAGGTATTTCAACATCAGGACAACAACAATCACCACTACGACCGAAAAAGCATAACAAAAGTGAAACATAAGGAGATGTAATAATAGCCGGTAATTAATATAAAGGAAGTGAAAAATGAGTGACCACTTATATTTATATTAATTAACATAAATTGCCGGTTTTTATTAAATTGGGAAAAAAAAACTAATATTAAATTTCAGGGATTAAGCTAACAAATTTTAAAAAATTAAGGACCAAAATAACCAAAAAAGGCTTAATTAGAGAGATATTAGTGAATTTTATGCCTAACATAAATTTAATTAAATTTGTTATGATGTATGGTCAGGTTCGCGTCATATTAAATTTGTGTCGTGAGCTATGTATATGTCTGGACAAAAAAAAAAAGAAGTTATGTGTAAGTCATATTTAACAGATTCGTATCATATTTAACTAAATTTGTATCGACTCATTTATTTGACGTATTTAAGGAAATTATTCATTTACTCTCCAAATTTGTGAAGGCTAAACACAAATCCATTGCATTAGTGTTGATTTTATGTCAAGTTTGGCGGTCATGTTTAAAATGATTGTGCCTAATAAATCCGTAAAAGGGATGTGGATCCCATGTTAATATATATTTTTTAAAATTTATTTCAATGGTGAATTACCAATCATGTATTCTAATACAGCCCATTGTATTATACGTATATCTCCGTTATTATATAATTGATGATCTAATATTCAAAAAGTTTCTTATAAGCAACTTGTTTGATTGATAAATAATGTCGTATATTGAAACATGTTTAGTTAATTGTGCAATAATTTTGGTGAAAATGTTTTTTTGGGACAAAATAATTCTTGTAAAGATGTTAGGACACATGGATCATTAAATTCTACAATTCTTTTTTATTTTTTGGTTTAATAGATGTGACAATCTTAATCTATTATCCATTAACCCGTGTAATACATCAATAAATAAATGAGTTGAGTACATATGTTAATTAATGCGGACTCTAAATAAGTTGGGTAATATAATTCATTTTAATTAAGTGGGTTATGATAGATTACAAATTGGTATTCATTGGGTTGATGATTTATTTTTCTATTATATAACACAAGTAATAAAATCAAATAAATATACTAATATACTAAAAAATACGCACATATACACTACTACACCAAAATCACACACATATTAATAAACTGACCCATGACCCGCAGGCCGACTCAACCGCCCATGACTCGTGTTTTATTTTGTGTTAATATGTGTGTATTTTGTGTATGTTTTGGTATATTAGTGTATGTGTGTTTTGGTATATTAGTGTATGTGTGTTTTGGTGTATTAGTGTGTGTGTTTCAAACTGTTATAAACCTAACTCATCGTAAACTATTAAATATGTGAGTGACAAGTAAATTACATTTATTTTGATTCAATCCAATTTAATCCAATCTATAACCAATCTAACTCACCCATTTGCCACCTCTAGTTAAGGATGTCTGGACTAGTTTACGTGTATTTCGACTAATCTTCTTCTCGGTCAGGTCAAAGTTAGGTCATCTACGTCAGAACTGGGGTATTCATGAGGAATAAATCCCTCATGACTTAGCTCAAAGAGTTTATCAAAATTCAAATTCAAAACATGTTTATAATTTATCTCTGTTACTATTTGAACTATCCTAAAAATTAAATTATATAATTTTGAAGCCATTTTTTCTACTCTCACTCCACCTATGTCGCATCAATAAAATGCCTGGGCAGTAGATGTGAATAGTAAGTAGAGTTTACCCAGTAAAAGGGCTTAGAAAATTAAACTCTTTTTTTTGTCAAGTACTATAATAGAAGAGGGAAATGACAATATTCGAACCATAATCTAAGATCTAACAACAGGACGGTGGTCATTAGCCTTCCACTAACCTCAATCCTAGCTTTTTTAAGGATTTGTATGGAAAGCCTTCGCGAGTAGATTTAGCCTAGCCCTGTACAGCCTTGCTAACAATAAACTTGGGCTGCCAGGTCTGCTATACTTCCGACTTAGTCCCAATAAGTAATATAGTAGTTAGTAGACCTAGCCCACATTATTTAGAACCAAGCATTCTTTCTTTTCTTTTTTTTCTTAGTCAATGGTCAAGAGTATTTAGATTAATTTATATACATCATTATTAATTTCTTCTTCAGTTTGATTAAAAGTAAACCATTCTTTCCCCGATTTAGTCCCTCATAACCTGACCTAAAAAAATTATCAAAATTCAAACTCATGACATATTATACATTTTTCAACAACAAAAGTTTAGTAGAATAAATTTCAGGTCATCACTAACATGAGAGATCAAAATCTAACAACATGATGTGTGTTTTATTCCATGAATATATATATGTGGTC